CTTTGCCTATGGTTATCTAATTTTCTAAATGCCATTTATTAAAGAGACTGTCCTTTCCCCATTGTATACTCTTGGCTCCTTTGTTAGAAATTAACTGGCCATATGTGTGTGGGTGGGTTTGTTTCTGGGCTGTCTATTCTGTTCTATTGATCTATATGTCTGTTTGCCTTGTTTTAATTACCATAGCTTTATAATATAGCTTGAAATCAGGGAGCATGGTACCTTCAGCTTTGTTCTTTTTCAAGATTGCTTTGGTTATTTGGGGTCTGTTATGGTTTCATACAGATTTTAAGATAGTTCTATTTCTGTGGTAAATGCCACTGGAATTTTAATATTACATTGAATTTGTATATTGCTTTGGGTAGAATGGACATTTTAACAATGTTATTTCGTCCAGTCATGGGCATGGGATATCTTTCCATTTATTTGTGTCATCTTTAATTTTTTTCATTAACATCTCATAGTCTTCAATAAACAGGCTCTCCCCCCACCTTGGTTAAATTAGATCTGGGTATTTTATTCTTTTTGATACAATTGTAAATGGTTTTCCTGAATTTCTCTTTTCTCATAGTTCATTATTAGCATATAAAAATGTAATCAAATTTTGTATATTGATTTTTACTGACTTTACTAGTTTAGCCATTTTTTTATGAAGTCTTTAAGGTTTTATATATATCGTATCATCTTTGAATAATGACAGTTTTACTTCTTCATTTTCAATTTGGATGACTTTTGGTTTTTTCCTTAGCTAATTGCTGTGACTTGGAGTTCCAGTACTTTGTTGAATTAAAGTGTGCATCCTTGTCTTGTTTCTGATTTTAGAGGGAAAACTTTCAGTTTTTCACTATTGAGTTTATTGTTAGCTGTGGGCTTGTCACATATGGCCCTTATTATATAAGGTATGTTTTCCACGACACTGGCTTTGTTGAGAGTTTTCATCATAAATGGGTGTTGAATTTTGTCAGATGCTTTTCTGTATCTGTTGAGATGATCAAAGGATTTTTCTTCAGTTTGTTAATGCGGTGTATCACGTTGACTGATTTGCAGATGTTGAACCATCCTTGCATCCCTGCAGTAATCCCACTCTATCATGGTGTATGATGGTTTTAATGTATTATTGAATTTTTCTTATTTGTAAGTATTTTGTTGAGGATTTTTGCATCTGTGTTTATCAGGGAAATTGGCCTGTAATTTTCTTGTGCTTTTAGTAATTATTCAAACTATTGACTGGAATAGAGTCCCCAGCTGTTATTATGATTGCTGTCTTATTTCTCCCTTTAAGTCTGCTAATAGTTTCTTTTTATGTTTAGGTGCTCCAATGTTGGGTGCATAAGTGTTTACAAATGTTATATCTTCTCATTGGATTGACCCTTTTATCATTATGTAGCACTCTCTTTGTCTTTATTACAGTCTTTGTTTTCAAGTCTATTTTGTTTGATGTAAGTATATACACTCCAGCATTGGTTTCCATTTGCATGGAAAATCCCTTGTTCTGTCATTCTTTCCATACATCTATAGCAAGTTTCTTATAGGTAACATATAGATAAGTGTTTTTTAATCCATTCACCCACTCTGTATCTTTTGATGGGAACATTTAGTCCATTTACATTAAAGTAATTATTGAGAGATAGGTGCTTATTGCCATTTTATTACTTGTTTTCTGGCAGTTTTTGTAGTTCCCTCTCTGTTCCTTTCTTCCATTGTTCTCTTCCTTTGTGGTTTGATGGCTTTTTTTTTTTTTTTTTTTCTTGATGGCTTTCTTTAGTGGTATGCTTATATTCTTTTCTCTTTATCCTCTGTGTATTTGTTATAGGTTTTTGCTTTGTTTTGCAACTGTGAGGCTTAAATATAACAACTTCTGTCTGTTACAGTCTACAGTCTTAAGTTGATAACAACTTAAGACTTAAGACTTAACAACTTAAGTTTTGTCCCATTGTAAAGCTTAAGATACTACTCTTGCCATTCACACTTCATGTTTTTGATGTTACATTTTACATCTTTGTATATCTTCAGTATCCCATAACCAAATATTGTGGTTTTAGGTAATTTTATTACTTTTGTCTTTTAACCTTCTTAATAGCTTTAGAGGTAATTAATTCACTACCTTTACTATATGTTTATCTTTCCAGTGCTCTTTCTTTTCAGTGTAAAGAAGTCTTTTTAGCATACCTTCTTTAGTTTTTGCTTGTCTGGAAAATTTTTTATTTCCTCTTCACTTCTGAATGATAACTTTGCTGTGTAGAGTGTTTTTGATTGAAAGGGTTTTTTCTTTCAGCACTTTGAATATATAGTGTCACTCTCTCCTGGCTTGTGCAATTTCTGCTAAAAGTTCTGTTGATAGCCTTGTCAGGCTTTGTTGTCTGTAGTAAGTTATTTTTTCTTGCTTCTAGTATTCTCTCCTTGTCTTTAACTTTTAATATTTTAATTACAGTGTGTCTTGATGTGTGTCTCTTTGGGTTCCTCTTGTTGGGAACTGTGTGATCTTGCTGGATTTGGATGTCTGTTTCCATCCCAGAACAACATCAAACAAAATAGACTTGAAAACAAAGACTGTAATAAAGACAAAGAGAGTGCTACATAATGATAAATGGAAGTTTTCAGCCATTATTTCTTCTAGTAAGATTTTCCCTTTCCCTTATCCTGGGAGCATGATGATGCAAACATTAGTCCATTTGATGTCCAGTGAGTCCTTTAAGCTATCCTCACATTTTTCCATTCTTTTTTTCTTTTTGCTATTCTGATTTGGGTGGGTTCTATTGCCTTTTCTTGAAGTTGACTGATTCCTTTTTTTTTTTTCATCTACCTTTCATCAACCCTTTTGGGGCATTTTTGTTTCAGTTATTGTATTCTGTGACTTCTGTTCAGTATCTTCTTAGATCTTGCATCTCTTTTGTTGAAGTTCTCATTGTGTTCATGCGTTTTTTTTCTTCCCAGATGATGATCCCAGTGATTATCTTTTCTTTTTTTTTTTTCACTTAAATGCAATTTTTAAAAATCTGAGTATAGTTGACACACAATGTTACATTAGTTTCAGGTGTATGACTTAGTGATTTGACAACTTTATACATTATGCACTGCTCACCACAAGTGTAGCTACCATCTGTCCTATTACATAACTATGACAATATCAGTGACATATTTCTTATGCTCTGCTTTTTATTCCTATAAGTTACTCATCGCATAACTGGAGACCTGTATCTCCTGCTCTTTGCCTAATCACCCACTCTCCTCCCCTCTGGCAACTATCAGTTTGTTGTCTCTATTTATAGTTCTGATTTTGATTTTTATCTATCTATTTTTTTCAGATTATACTTATGACTGGAATCATATAGTATTTGTTTTTCTCAATCTGACTAGTTTTAGTTAGCATGATACCCTCTAGGTCCATTCATGTTGTCTCAAGTGGCATGATCCTATCCTTTTTATAGCTGTGTAATATTCCATTGTGTATATATAGCACATTTTCCTTATCCATTTGTCTATTGATGGATACTTAACATTGTTTCTCCATGTCTTAACTATTGTAAATAATGCTACAGTAAACATAGGAGTACCTTTATCTTTTTGAGTTAACTGTTTTCATTTTCGGTGAGCACCTTTACCACCATTACTTTGAACTCTTTTTATCAGGTGAATTACTTATCTCTATTTAACTAAATTTTTTCTCTTGTATCTTGTTCTATCATTTGGAACATATTCCTCTGTTTCTTCACTTTGTTTGACTCTCTGTGTTGGTTTCTATATAGTAGATGAAACAACTACCTCTCCCAATCCTGAAGGAGGGGCATTGTGTAGGAGATGAACCTTATTGTTCAGCCCTCCCCAGCTCTTTGTTATCTCTCAAACCATCCTGCTTGTCCAATCAGTCTATTATATTTTTAGTAGATTCCAGTAGTTTAGGATGTGCCATACCAGTCAGTATCCCAGAGGGGAGGATCTCAGTGCCTCGATTTGGCTGACTGGAAGCCAAACCCTCAGGCATCAACTTTTTAAGGTATGCAAATACGTAGTCTTGTGGGACCACAAGTGTAAGCCCTACTGGCCACGAGAGCCAGGAGACAACCACAAAAATCAGGCTACCAGATGTATGTAAAAGCTGCCTTCTGAGAGATACTGGTGGTCTGGAGCACAGCAGAGGGAGTTTGTGGATATGGTGCCCACTAGTCTCTGTCCCCAGAGAGTGTTCCAACAGGCTCCTAGGTAGATGTGTTAAATAAGGCACCTGCCCTTCAGGCCAGTGCTTTAATATAAGAAACAGGTAAGCTTCCTTCACTTGAAGTCTGGCCACCATCGCTGCCTCCATCCTGGGCCCCAGGTGTGTGAGTCCAAGTGTCTTGGCCTTTTAAGAGCAGTTTCTCAGATCTCTAGGGTCTTATGGGTCTTGGGACACAAACCTCATTGGTTTTTAAAGTTCCGTGTTTTGAGGGCTTGTCTCTCAAGATATGTGACTCAGGATGTCCATGAGAGGAGATGAGTTCAGGGTGTTCCTAGGGTTCACCATCCTGAACCCTGTTTACCAATAATAGATTGTGTTATTGATTTTGAGGTTAAGCCCAAACTCTGTTTCTCATCCCTTAGTAAAGGAATCAAAGACATTGGTTTGGGTTGTAAAGTCACATGTTAATAAAACACAAATACTCCAAGCAGTACTTTGAAGAAGAGAGTGTAGTTTATCTCTTCTCCAGAATGCCTTTCAATAAAAGATAATGAGAGGCAGTATCACATAGTATTAAATGCAGACTCGGTTTCAGCCTTTCCGGTTGAACCATCTCAGACCCCTCAGCTCTTCGTGCCTCAGTTTCTATATCTAACAAATGGTGGGCAGTGCTTCACTGTTACTGCTGCTCTTAATGAAAGCTCTCCTGGCACCTGGCACCTGGTGAGCCTCCAGGGTTCATTCTTACTCTCGTCATCATGAATTAATCCTCATAGGCCACACGGTGACTGTAGACATTTTATGGTATAGTTGTAGCTCACACAATATTTTTCTTTTTTAAAAGGGGAAATTGTTGTAAATGAAGTCAATTTTGTGAGAAAATGCATTGCAACGGACACAAGTCAATACGATCTGTGGGGAAAGCTGATCTGCAGTAACTTCAAAATTTCCTTTATTACGGATGACCCGATGCCATTACAGGTGTGTGTTATTTGTGTGCTGTTTAGTTGTTTCAAGGATTTGACTCTAAGCAGTATGTATAATTACATAAAGCACAAGTATGGAAAATTATAGTAAAATTATTATGCAGTTAACAACATTGGGAATGTATTATATTAAAATTCAAAATAAAGTGTAAGGAGAATGTTGGGACTCAAGGAGAAGAATTCGTGAGATGGTTGAGTTATCTTGCTTTTTTATCTCCTGTGATTATTGCGTAGATATCCTTTGAATAATGGAGTTAGTATTTTCTTTCTTCTACATCTTTTAAACTGCTTTTAAAAATGAAGCTATCCTTTTTTTTTAAGTAGTCCTAAAGAGAAAAGCTTAATTATTTAGCAAATAATTGCGTAAACACAGTGGATTTTATAGATTTCATAGTATTTTTAACTAATTCCTTTTCCAAACATCAAATTCTAGTTTGAAATTTCAATTTACTTGTCAAATTAGAATGAAGAAAAATACTGATAAAATTTTTCTTTAATAACACTCTTGCCATTTTATGGTCCCACTGGAAACCAATAATACGTTTAATTTTGGTTTTTAAAAATTCAGGTATTCGTTTGATTAACTTAAAAATTGTGGACTTTTCCTTGGCTCTTCTATTTTGATTTCTAAAGTGTTATATACTTTTATCCCCTAGACTTTTATTTATGATAGGAATTGTTCTCTAATCAAATATTTGGATATTAATTGTAAACTTTTGACTGAAGCGTCTGACTCTGGATACATATATTTCATATAGCTTTTATTAGTTTACCAAAATATTTACTTTATATTTGTGTGTTTATTGCAAACTATTGTAGGTATATTTAGACTGAAGGCATTTATAGGTACCTAGTATGTAGACAACACTGACTAATTTGGCTATAGACTTGGGTTTTTCCTCTTCGTTTTTAGATTCATTTTTATCTCTGGCTGCAGACTTCACTGTAAATGAGATGCATGTACTTAATTAAAATAGCCACATCTCATACCGCTGGTAGGGGAAATAAACCAGTGCTCTACTGACAGCTGGTTAATAGTGAGAACTATGTTCTTAGTTTAAAAATGGGTATAAAGTGTTTGCTGACAGATTAAAATAAAACAAGCTATAGTTTGCCTGAAGATTTTTATTTCTAGTATAATTTCTGCTCTAAAAATTACTTTCTAAAGAGTGATTTTCCAAAGTCTCCTTTGTAAAATCAAGCCATGATTTTGCCCATTAAAATCTGATGACTTAAGAGTACCTTTTTCTTTGTTATTTTAATGACCATCTAACCAGAGTCAGGCATGCAAATGGTTGCCTATGAAGTGATTGATAATATTGCATATCTTGGATATTATAAACGTATTATTGTATACAATTTAACCTCATTTCATATATAAAAGTATGGAGAGAAAGGTGGAGAGAGTGTGAACATAGCATGTGTTTCTTTTTCCTTTTCATGACTGAAGTATGTTCTGAGATACTCCCTCCTTAGAACTGTCATAGTTCTGGAGACAAAAGCTTTTTGTTCTTTTTAGAGATAGTCATCATGGTAGAGTAAGGCAGTTACTACCATTTGAGGTTGTTGAGGAATAACCTAACGTGAACATAATTTTTATTTCAGAAATTCCATTACAGAAACCTTCTTCTTGGTGAGCATGATGTCCCTTTAACATGTATTGAGCAAATTGTCACAGGTATGTAGTATTCTTTATTCAGTCCATAAAAGCTGATTCTCCTCAGGAAGTATTGCTTGAAGAATCACACCTCTCAAACATTTGGGTTGGAATTTTATTTCTGTAGGTTTATGTTCCCTGCTCCCTTTTGTTTGAGTCCCAGGAATATTAATGAAAGAGAAGTCAATAAATTATTTTTTAAAACTTTTATTTATTTTAGAGAGAGAGGGAGAACAAATGTGAGCAAGGGGTGGGGAAGAGGGAGAGGGAGAGAAAGAATCTCAGAGTCCTCGTTGAGTGCCAAGCCTGACGTGGGGCTCGATCCCATGACCCTGAGATCATGACCTGAGCTGAAAACAAGAGTCAGATGCTCAACTGACTGAGCCACCCAGGTGTCCTGAAGTCGATAAATTATTTTTAAATGGAAATACAGCATATTTAGCTTTTTATGTTTTCCAAGTATTTGTCCTCTTTTAAATTAAAATTTTAAGCATTAAATGTGTCTAGATGGTGGTGGTTTTATGCAAAGATCATTTAAAATATAGTCAAAAGCGAAGTTGAAATCCATCCCCTTTCCAAGTTCTGTAAATTGTAGACAAATATAAAAGATACCAGAGAAGCAGTGTTTAAGTAGTGGGTAACCTAATTATTTTCAGTAATAATTTGTTAACGTATACTAAAGAGGGAGTGACAAAAAAGAATTTTTACACATTTTTTTCTTTATTTTTTCCTTTTTAGTAAATGACCACAAGAGGAAGCAGAAAGTCCTAGGTCCCAACCAGAAACTGAAATTTAATCCAACAGAGTTAATTATTTACTGTAAAGATTTCAGAATTGTCAGATTTCGCTTTGATGAATCAGGTCCTGAAAGTGCCAAAAAGGTAATACTGTTAAGCTTTATCAAGTTTGGTGTTTCGCACTGTATTTCCAGTATCAGTTCTGTGTGGAAGTTCTTTTTTCTCAGTTGCTCAGATTTTTTTTTTTTTTTTATCAGCTCCTACAATACTAGAAACTATGATGTAGAAATTATTGTATCTTTTGCACTTAAACCATTACCAGCTGGTTCTTTCTTGGTAAGAACTTTAGAAAATACCTTAGAATGTCCTCAACGAACTAAAAGTTAGACTTAAGTTACGTAAGGGTTAGGTAAAGGTATAGTTATGGGAGAGGCCTAATAATTATTAGTACTTTAAGGAAATCTTAGTGTATTAATTTGAGAGCTATTCCACGGGAACAGCTAAAATCTAGGGACTTTTTAATTGGCTCTGTTTTTTCCCTGACTTCCGGGAATGTTTATTGCCTGCTCATGGAGTGAGTTTCATGGGCAAAAATTCCCACTTCCTTGATCCCACCTTTTGGCTTTGGCAGAGGAGTGAAGCTGGTGGACATGATGCCTTACAGGTCCAGGCCATGATGCAGCAAATGCAGAGAATATAACACTTTCTAGGAGAGGTCTGCTCCCACACACTGGGAATAAAGGAACAGTTTCTTAGTGAAGTGGAACCTTCTCTCAGAAATGATTCAGCTTTTGCACCACCCCAGAATGCTCTGGTGCTCTTGGTTTCCATGGTTAGTAGACTTACTGCAGTGAATTTTCTGTTGATATCAAAATGAGGCCGTCAAAAAATTCTTAAGGCAGCTGTTTTCATACCCTTTGGTGAGGACATTGTGGATTTATTTTTAGAACTTCGAGTCATCAGTTTCCTCACAGGAAGGCAAGCGTAGATAAATATCTGAACATGCTGGACCCCAAGGACTAGATTATCTAGCAGAGTGTGGCGAGCTCTGTGGCTAAAAGTATTCAGGTATAAAACCATCTTTCGGCGTGCTCCGTAATAAAAAATTCAGCTAGGTAGCTGTGAGTCATTGGTTCACGTTTTGTAGGCCCCTTTCATCTGTTCAGTTCTGCAGTTTGTGATTTGGGCATTTTACTAACTTGAGATGCCTGCTCTTACAAAGAAAGACTTTAAGACTATTTAGGTAGTAGGCTCATTATAAAACATTTTAGCTGAGTTACTTTCTTGAGCTTAAATTTATACGTGTAATTTAATCAGTCAAAGCATCAAGAATCTGCTTATGAAAATCTTAATTTCAGGATGCATATCAAGAATAGGGACACCATTGCATGGAGCACTGGGTGTGGTGCATAAACAATGAATTCTGGAACACTGAAAAGAAATTAAAAAAACAAATAAAAATAAAAAAAAATAAGAATAGGGACACCGTAGATCTTAAGAGATTTAGGACAGGATTTTTTTTAAGTAAAAAATTGATAAAGTGGCCCAATATTCTTTCAGAAATTTTCCCTCTCTCCCACTGTCAACTATATTTTTCAAATGACTCTATTTCAGTGATTGGAAATCATAATTATTTGGCCTCATTCTTGAGCCTTCTAATAAATACCTGCTGGTCATTTTTTAAGTGTGAGGTTGTGTGCTTAGTTGAGAAGATTAGAGCAGGAACACATGAAAATTGAAGAGTGGTACAAAGTAGTGGCATAAAAGATGTTTTCACATAAGTGATTAGTTGCCAAATGAATGAAACAGTTGAGTGCTCTGGAAATTCAGGATATCCCTTGTCTGTTGTGCTGCTGGTAAGTGATGAAGGGGACTGCACGGAACTGTCTACATGAGACACCCTAGTCCAACTGTTTGTGCCCTTTCCCAAGACTAGACTTCTGGCACAAATCCTTTCTCCTCTGTCTTAAAATATTAAAAGCATGTAACCTCAGGCCTGAAAGAAATGCTCTTTTTGTCTTTTGTAGAGACATGTTGTGGGTGGGGGTTGCAGGTGCAGAAAAGAAAAGTGGAGGCAGTAAGAATATAAAGAGAATTTTTTTCCCTGACTTACGTCTCAGACACAGAGGTGAGAGCATGTATGCTCCCAAAACTTACTGGCTTCATGAGTTAAAAAGAAGAATTCTAGCACATTCTTTTATTTCAAGTGAAACTTTTCAACTAAAATTAGGTAACAGTTGGGGAGTTACAGCTTGATTTTTACCTCCTGGAAATTTTGAATGCTAAGTTTTCTGTGGAAATGCTCTGATTTTCTAAGTTGTTTTAAAATGACCAGCACATTCAGAGTTCTCTGGTGGGTAAACCACTGATTAGCTTTGAAATACCAAAAGCATTTATATTTCTGTTTGAAATACGAAATCTCGAAATGCTAAATTGGTTCACATTTTGTTAAATATTGCTCTATAACCCTCTGGTAGTCTAGTTGGTGTTGCCTAAATTGCGATAGGACAAAGTTAGATGATACTGTGCTGTTGCATCCGTTAGCATTCATCCTCCTTATCCTGGGTCTGTCACAAGTCAATAGGATGTTTGGGACAGATCTGTATAAAGAGAAAAGGAATTTGATTTTGCAGAACTGGGTGTCTAGCCTCAAAGTAACTTGGAACCGCCCTTTCCTTTTGAAAAACCTCTGTTCAAAACTGAGGAGCAAAAAAAAATTGTTTTTAATGATTTATTACTTACAAAATATATATATGTGTGTGTACATGTATATAAAGATGATAAGTGAAATGTATGCCCTTTATTTCTACTTTATTTTCAGATTAGTTGGTTGTGAACCACTTGTCAGGCATACTTTCTAAAAGTGAAAATTCAACCCATCTGTTTAAAGAATAGTTGGCTTTTCCTGAACTTTTTTTTTCTTTTTTTCTTTTTTGCTTTGAATCTGAGACTTACTCCATGGTGGCTTTTGGAGCACAAAATAAGGAAACCAGTTTTGTTTGTCAGTGTGCTAGAACTTGCTGAGGTTTGAGTTTCTCCAGTGCTGCGCCCCCAGCTGATCTTAGAGGAGAAACCAACTGTGGGCACTTTGGCTTCTGTCTGTAAGATTGTCCTTGGTCCACAGATCACTTAAGAAGTAGTTTACTTTTTCCCCTCCATAATTTAATGTCTTTAATACCAAGATATTCTTCATTCCCTATGACAACCAGGGCAGATGAACCGTTTTCAGAAGCAGTGTTTAAAGATGTAGAGTTTTTCTAAAAATTTTTAATGCTTATGGAGCACGTTGCAAAATTAGAATAATTTTACATGAAAATGAGACCTACTTTTTTGAGTCTTTCAAGCTCTTAGTGACGGAAGCTAGGAATATGGACGTAAGCTTTTTAAAGAGCGTGTACGGAAAAGCTTGAGGGAGAGGATTCTTGGCTTTATTTCTCTTCTCAAAATGTCCTACATAACAGCATGAATGTAACCCAGATAGCTCAAGTGGTACGTGCCTTTATCTGGGTCCCCAAGAAGGCCCCTTGCTTAGGTTACGTAGAAGTAAGTTTCACACACTTGTAATTACACTACTCAGCACCAGCTCTAGTTCAAGTTGTTCCCCTGTTCCCCCACCCCACCCCCGATCAGCCGTTGTGCAGGTGATTAACCAGCTTTGGTTCCACAGATTGTTCGTAGTCTTCTTGCATTAGAGATGCTATTAAGCACACTCATTTGTTTCCTGACCCTTTATAGATGTGGTGTGCTATTCTCAAGGGCTTTCTAAAAGTGGGCTACGTTGGGTTTGCCTAGTTGGGTTTGCTTTGTTTGTTTTTGCTTTGTGACCATAAGCAACATACTCCATAATGATCTGTGAATTTCTTTTGTGTAAACAAGGCCTGTGGCTGCTTTCTAAATGTGTCAGACAACGTGATATGCTCATTTCATTGGCTTAGAGCATTTCCTTACTGTTAGTAAATAATTTTGTCAACTAGTATTTTTAGTGCAGCTGCTGCTGTACGCAAAGCACCTTCAGAAAGCTGCTGAGGAAAACCAAAAATGCAGAAGTCTTCAGGTCTTCACTCAGCTCTGCACAGAAAGGTCTTTCCTAGTCTCCTTCTCTACATTAGTAATCTACTACCTTCTCAACCTCACCATAACACTTCATATCCCTCCCCCGCTGGGCTTTTTTTTTTTTTCCTTTAGCTCTTACGATGATCTCACTATCGTTTTTCTTATTTATCTTGTTGCTTCATGTCTGTCTTCCCCTTGTAGAATGTAAGCTTTAAGAGGCCGGGGATCTGCGTCTGTGTTGTTCATTGCTGCAGCCCCAGGGCTTTGGATGTGGTGGACGGGCAGGAAATACCTGCCCAATGAATGACAGAGGTAGCATCTACCCTTAAGGGATTGAGTTTAATGGTGGAAGTAAAACGAAGAACCCCTGTGCCTTTTCCATCTACACTCAAAACTATGTCATGAATACTTTGAAATTCATTCAGCTACACAAGCACAGCTAACAGAAGGGACACTTTATATCAGAGTGGTTGTTCTTCAGAGAGAACAGAAGGGTTTCTACAGTTAATACTGTGAAATCGGCTTGGACTAGGAAGACCTATGAAGAGATTCGAGTTCAACGAAGCTCGTAGATTCAGGGACAGCATGGTTGGCCGAGCAGTGGAGAAGGATTTCTCAGGCAGAGTGTGGCGGGTAGGTGGCTGGAAGTAAGGCAGGCAAAATATGAAATATGGATAGATATGTTGTTCTGACAGGAGACCACTGAGGGAACATAGGGAAAAGAAGTGATGTCTGGTAGAAGAGAGCCAGCTTGGTGAAGAATCAAGAATGAGAAGATTTATTATATTAGGCAGGTATCTGGGAACCATAGGAGGTTATCTGGGAAACACAGTTGCTGGTCAGAATTTCCTCTTTAGAAGAGACTTCTTAGGCATTGTGGATTTTTTTTTTCCAGAATATAGGGAAGCTCACAGAAATGCCGAAAGGTGAGTATGGCTTAAGAATATAGCTGTGGTAGTGCAGGGAAATGGAACAAAAGTGAAAGATAATCTTGAGGAAATTACAACAAAGCTTATAAACTACATATGGTAACCAGAAGAATAGGAAGTGGTTGAGGACTTCTTCAAGGTACGGAGGTCAGTAGTTTTGCTGCTAGAAGAAGCTCTCTGAGGAAGACTATTTGACCGATTAGGGATGGGAATGTAGGTTACTGTCTCCTAACTGCGTAACTGGGACTGTTCTAGAAGGCTTTCCTTGTAGTCAAGAAAATTGAGGTATTACATAAAAGTTTCAAGAATCTTTTGTTGTTGCTTTTAGTCAAAACTAAAACTAGTGATAAACTCCTTTTATTTGTGTATATATTCTAATTTAGTAAGACAGGAAACATTCTATAGAAGACTTTTAGTATACTTGTTAAACAAGAGCTTGACACATAGTTGACCCATTAGTAGAATTTGTGTCAACCCTCCCAAACACCACTAATCAACATGGACTAACAATTAACTAAACTTCTCCTGCTTGCTCCTGTCAGAAATACATTGTTTTGGCTTAATGCTTTTCCTTCTAAATAATATTTAATCTTTCTAAGTAAGATCTTCTCTTCTCTCCTTTCATATGTCTTAAATTTCTTCTTTCTGTTCTAATCATTTAAGAATATTTACTGCTGCAGTCTGTCCAGGGCGTTGTCAACATAGAGCACTGTCCATCCTTCCTTCTCTCCAGCAGCAGTTGGAAATAATATCAACCATATTTCCATGTATGGCGCTTCTGCAGAGGCCAAGGCATGCATTAAGATTTAATCCTTACCATAGCCATACGTATTATCTTCATTTTACAGTTGCACAAACCAAGGCTCAGAGAGGTGAACTGATTTTATATCATTTGCAGGGCAAGTGTTGGTATACACTACGATTCATAGCCTGATCTGTTCGATGGAGAAGCCCACACTCCACCCTAGACATAGTCTCAAACCATTTTCTTAAACACAGTTGTTTGTTTGTTTTTTTTTTAATGTACCTTTTTGAGTCACCCTGTACTTTTGGGTTTCTTGCTAATTTTCATTTTTTGTGATTGTAACTTTCCGATTAAGTCTAGATTCCGATTAAGTCTCGATTAAGTCTGGATTAAGTCATGAGGTTATGAACATTAAAATTTCATACCTTACATTAAGCCTTCCAGATTGCTGGTATTAACTCATTACAGTCCACCAAAAATGAAACTTTTTTAAATCCTTTCTTTAGGAATATGTATGTATATATATCTATATCTATATCTATATGTCACTACCTTTTTGGAGAATGCTTCTTTAGGTTTCAAGTTTATTTATTTGAATAAAATTACTTTCCTGTTAAAATTCAACTCAGCAAGCACTTAATAAATACTTAACCATGTACTCCCTAAAGATTATAAACAGTGTCCTGGGGGCACAACATGAATGAGATACCTGGCCTTAGGGAGCTCTTTCCCATTCTAGCTTCAACAGAAAAAAACACGTAAATAAGAATCTATTTTCACTGGCCCACCCAAGATGATGCTCCCAGTAACCAAGGCCTTATTGTACATTTCATTTAAATAAGTGTGTTAAAATCAAATTCTAAATATAGAATTTTTCCTAGGTATGCCTTGCAATAGCTCATTATTCCCAGCCAACAGACCTCCAGCTACTCTTTGCATTTGAATATGTTGGGAAAAAATACCACAATTCAGGTAAATATGAAAATATTAAATATTGTAACTAACTTTACATTGTATAAGTTTTATTCTTATGTTTATCAGGCTTCCAAGTACATGAGCTTTAATGATTGTAGAATTATTAGCTTCATAACTGCTAGAGAATAAAGCACTACATACTAAAAGAGGCGAGATTTGTTAGATTATTTGTTAGAAAGTGACCAGGAAGAACCTGTAAGTAGCTATAAACATAGGTTTATAAGAATCATGTTAGGTCTTTTACCGATGGTCCCTGGCTTGTATTTTACGGTCAAGAAAGATCCCCTCCCCATTTTTAATTGATAGCTTGAGTTGAAATAGTCTCAACTTTTAAAGAAAACAGACAGAAAATTAAAAGATCTTTGAAATGCATGATCTTTTCTGACATGGTGTGATTTTATGCAAAAGCTGAAGTGGTTAAACTTTTTAGTGGAGAGATCATCATTGAGGTCATCAAAATACTGAATTTATATTTCTTAATAAAATTGATGAAAGGAAGAGGAGCATTTGTCCAAAGGATAAGTACATTCCAGGCAGTTTTTGTAAAAGTAAAGTAGTACTATTCATATACTTACTATGTGATTACTCAGTGATGACATCACCAAGGAAAATTCCAGATGATCATGTAATTCTGTACATTTCTTACATGCAAATTTAATTATAATCAGCCATTTTAAAAAATCTGATAAAGGGAAGAGGAAAAACAAAGGGGTCATGTCTCATGGATTAGGGACCACAGGTTGACTTAACCTACTAAGGCACATGTTCTCTCACTATTAAGGAAGAAAAATAAATCCATTATGTATTTACAATCAAAGATCAGTTCACCCCAACATGGTCGGGAAAAGGATCTTACAAATTATTAATTGTACTGGTTTTTCATTTTATTATCTCAAAACATAACATACTATAGTAATTTAATCTATGTAATAAAAGCGTATTTGAGTATTATTATATTGTAAATACAGTAAGATGTAGGAACAATACAGAGTATCTACAGGTGCATATGGTATAAGTATATTTTCACTACTCTAAAAGATCTTTGTAAACACCATAGAGATGGTATGTGAAAGTCACGCTTTGCAGAAGGAGTAGCTCTTCTCATATAGTGCTGTATTTATAGAAATAAAAGACAAAGTATTTGTAACTTAATTTTTCTTATCAAAATGTAACCAATTGTAACTTAGGCTTGAACAAATTATTTTTAAAGTTTATTTCTTAATATAAATTATACATTCACTTATTGTCTAAACATAAAAGTATTGTAGATCCTGCACTACTCATTAGGTGAATATTTCTTTGGGTCATCATCAAGCTACAGATCATGATCATCAAGGTTATTTTCAATAAGATCCTCACCCACACTTGCAAGAGAGTAGCTGAAATGAAAGTTTCAAGAGGTCCGAGAGTTCTAAGAGTTTTTGATTCCCACTTTAATTTATGATACAGATCAATTCTTGATGCGTTTTTTTTTTTTTTTTTTTCCTAATAGAAATGATTCTGTCCAGGATATAGATTCATGATTTCTGCAGTAATGTAATGACCTGAGCTCAGCAAATGCACTAAACTTCATTATGCGTTTGGGAACCTGATGCCTGCTCCGGTTACTTCTCAGTTTTCTTCATCCATTCTTGTGGGCATCTCTGGGTTAACAATACTTTAAATAGTTATTCTACCCATAGCTCTGCTACAGGATTTTCTTATTTACATCAGTTGGTTCTGTATGTCTTCTTATATAAAGCTTTGTTGATAAAGTTTGATAATTAATACTTAAAATATTCAGGAACACTTTTTTTATTACATCCTTCAGTCACCTCCTGCTTTAACAGGTACTTCATAAACATAACTCTTGGCCAGAGTTTTGTTACGATTCCTCGTAGGGTAACACCCTTTAATATCCTTCCGTGCTGTTGCAGAAGCATAAACTGCATCCTTAAGATCAAAAGAAGCCTGAACTATCCACACACTGCAGTCAGAATTCATTAATTTGTGAGTGAAAGATGCCCAATAATCCACTCTTGAACTTCTGGATGCCACCTTGATTCATTGGCTGGATTAAAGAATAAAGAAGTCCTTTTTGCAGGCAGGTAGGTGACAAAGCTGTTTCCACGAATAAGATCTGGAGTTAGAGGATATCCCCTGCAGTTATCTAGGGAAAGACTCTCTTAGATGGCCTTAGACACTCTGAGGTTTTCTTCAATGTTTGGCATCCCTTGAGTGAAAATACCATCTCTGCAGAGCTCACCAGTCATCCAAGTACTTCTTTGAGGATCCCGAAGTAAAGGGACAATGCGTAGCACCCCTAGGCTTGGAACCTCTCAGGAGGCGCTGGCACAAACACACGGTGGTTCTGGGTTCTTTCTTTCTTACCTTGAAAGAAACCACAAGGATTCTGCTTTCATCAGTCAGGTTGTTATTGGGCAGATAATGTCACAAAAGTACAGATGGACCTTTGTAATAAAATTGGTAAGATGTCAGATTATGCTTCCAGTCTGGAGAATTGAAAACCTCATGAAGTTGGGGCACCTGGGTGGCTCAGTCAGTTAATTGTCTGACTCCTGATTTCGGCTCAGGTTGTGATCTCAGCATGGTGAGATATATGTGTATATATGGCATCAGGCACTGCTCTGGGCATGGAGCCTGCTTAAGATTCTCTCTTTCCCTCTGCTGCTGCCCCTCCCCTGCTCAAAAAAAAAAAAAAAAAAAAAAAAAAAAAAAAAAAAACCCCCAGAAATTATCTGTAGCCTCAGTGTTAGCAGCTCTACTCCATGGCAGACACTGAGCTTGCAAATGCTGTGATATAATCTCAAGTTGTCATGTAGTCTCAGGGCAGAAAATGTTCATTTTCAGTGGTTTATTTTATTTTGTGATTTTCTCCTTTTTATTAACATAGGCCTTGGTATTAGATTTTTTTTTCCATTAAATGCTTATTTGAAAACCACTTGCAGAGTACATAGTCCATTTGAAACTGTAGAAATTTTTAAAGTTTTTTGCCTGTTCATTCTTTTAAGATTCTCAGTGTAGCTGTCTCTTGAATGCTAGTGCTTCCCAACCAGCGTCCTGTATCAGAATCCCTGGAGGAGCTTTTAGAAATGCAGCCATACCAGCTCTGCCTCAGCCCCAAAGTCCAAGTCTCCTGGTTAGAACCACTTCGTTGACTCACCCTGTTGAACATAACATCACAGCTTTGTTTTTACAAACTTTGACATCCTTCATGACTTCTGGTTCCTGCAGTATGGTCAAAGCGATAGGCTTTCTTCTCATATGTTGACCATTTTTACTCTTTGCTGTTGTTTGAGGCCATTCTAAGTATAGATGGGGCTAGTTAAGTGGAAATTCTCTGATTATTTCAGCACGGTATGGAATTAGACTTCTGAACTGTGTCACAGAAGATAGCCAAGATGGGGCACCTGGATGGCTCAGTTGGTTGAGCGCATTCAGTTCTTGATTTTGGTTCAGATAATGATCTCAGGGTCCTGGGATCAAGCCCTGCGTCGGGCTCCGCGCTCAGTGGGACGTTTGCTTGAGGATTCTCTCTCTCTCCCTCTGCCCTTCCCCCCGCCCCCACACACGTGTGCACATGCGTTCTTCTCACCCTCACTCTCTGTCAGATAAATAAATCTTAAAAAAAAAAAAAAGAAGAAGAAGAAGGTAGCCAAGGTCAGGAGTGCTTACTATCTGGTTTTCACTTTTAGTTGGCTGAGGAGCTGTCCTAAAACCTCAGGTAACTCTGAGGGAAGCTGGATCTTCGTAATATGACTGATCTTGCCGCTCTGTTGCTGCACGCATTAGTAATCCGCTTGAGGTGCAGGCCACAGGCATCAGGCCTTTTGGACTTTCTGGAAAGCGTTAGTATTTCCAGACTCTCTGATGCCATATTAAATATCCGCTGCGCATGCTCTGAAGAAGATGTAAACATATAACCTGGCCCTAGTTGTTGAGAAATGGACAGGTTTTCAACAGCCAAAACCTGTAAAATAGTAAACAGTGTATTATCTTATCGGTTTTCTCACCTGATCTTCAGAAAGTTTGTCTTTTCGTAGTTAGACCAGATTACATCTTGCTAGAGAAACCGTCTCATAAACTGTATGTTCTCAGTAGCTTACTAAAGTCTATAACTTCAAAACACTCAAAAGTATTCCATTCTAGGCTCCTAGCTGAGCATATCCTGCCAAACACTGTTTGCATAGATAGCTCTTTAAAAATGGTGAATGTGCTCTTTATTACTTCTTTTTTGGTGGTGGCTGTCTCATTGCCTGGTGAGGACCTCTGGTAAAGTGTTGACTGGTCATCAGGATAGCAGGCATCATTTCTGTTCCGGATTTTGATGAAGATGATGTTTACTGTGTGTTTCTGGTAATTACCCTTTATCAAGTAAGGAATTTCCCTTTGATTCCCAGTTTACTCAAGTTTGTTTTTTTAAATTATGTGTAGGTACTGAACTTGATCAAATATTTTTCTGCACTTTGAACTGATCATAAAGGGTTTGTTTTTCCTCTGTAATTTGATCGTATGATGAATTATATCTTCTAATGTTGAATAACTTTCTGTGGTTTTGATGTTCTGGAACACTGTGAGTAAAGTGACAGTTGCCTGGACATTCCGGGAAGGTTCTGCCTCCCGGAGAGATTACAGCTCTCAAGTTCCTCAGCAGACTCCGGTTATAGCTCCTCTGGAGAAGGCTCTGTGATGGAGTGGCACTCCAGGATATGTGCTTGGCTTTAGTGTTTTAATATTAAATAAGCTCTGCTGAAATCAGAATGACTGGGTAATTCTGATGCCACTTAAAGCATAAAATTCAGAATTCTGAATTGGTGCATAAGACCCTTTCTAATCTAGAGTAGCGCTGTCCAGGAAGGGAAATGTTCTCTCCTCTGCATTTTCTGGTATAGGAGCCTCTAGCCACATGCAGCTGTTCAGCACTGGAAATGTGGCTAGTACAACTGAGGACCTGCATACTTTATTTTATTTTATTCTATTTCAATCACACATGTGGCTAATGGCTACTGTTTGGGGCAGCAGAGACCAAGAGTCTTGGCTCCATCTCATTTTCCAGCCTCTCTTCCACCAACCCTTGCATCCCTCATGCTCTAGCTGATATCATACAATTACACCATGTTTTTTATGTTCTGCTCTACCCAGCATGCCTACCTTCTTCTCATCTCGTCAGCCACCTGGCAACATTGGGCTCTTTCCTTAGGTCTCTGTTCAGGTGTGGTCAGGTCCTGAGGCCTCTCGTGCCCCAGCCTCCGTCTCCAGTGAGTGCCAAGGACACCCTCCTCTGGGCTGTCGTTGCGCCTATACATCCTGCTCACTGTGATTGGGGCTGAGCTTACCCTCCACTGTCTTGTTGGCATTTTCAAGATATAGATAAAACTGCACTCATTTTTAAATTTTTAGGCCTTAGCACATGGGAAGTTCTCCAAAAATACCTGTCTGCACCAGGTGTTAATAAATGGTCCACAGGTGGGCATGGCATGTTCGTGGGACGGTGAAGGGGTTTCTGTGGTTACAGGGGAGCCACGGGGCTTAGGCAGTAATGAAAGGTCGGGTTGATTATCTAAGGGCTTTTTAAGCAAAACCATTTAGGTTTGCTTGAGGAAGTTGGAAAATGACCATGAGGGAAAGTTTGGGACAAGGGTATAGCATCACGAAAGCATGATTTTGGGGCATTGGGTCCTGTAGGCTACAGGCTGGTTTGAGTGCTACAGAACGTCATGTCGGGGATGTCATGCTAGAAACTTGCCACCACCGTTGCCACTTGCAGCAGTGAGACACAGGACCAGGAAAGATTGTGTCGTTTGTCACCTCAGATTGCCAGAGTAGATGAGGCTGACCGCTGAGACACTCTTTTTCCCTCTGGTCACTCTGTTGGTTTTCCTGAGGCTGTGGGCATGTCACAGAGGACAGTAGTTCTCCATGAGAGAGGGCTTCTTGCTGAGGAAATTCAAGTGTATGCCCTCTGCTGAAATCCCCAGATGGGAGTGGCCCTGTGATGGATGGAGTACAAGGAACCCTTGTGAACTTATCAAAGGAAATTTGAGTAGATACGGGAGACCAAGAATTTTATAATGAACTGTAGAAAAGAGTGGGGCGTCAATATTAGAGGGATGAAAGATTTGGTCGAGAGCAGACATGTTTGGATGCATTCATTGTTCCAGGCAAAACATGTGGAAAAAATGAGCAAGGATTTGAATTTACCCCACAGTTTAGGGCAGGGGGATGAGGGAGGCTTGTGAGTGGCTTCCATGAAACGATAGGGATAGAAGACCATGGAAGAGGAGAAGATCTGGGCAGCAGGTGTTGTTCGTCATTTCGGGAAGATCGTCAGTAATGGGGAGGAGGGAGAAATGTATATATAGCACAGTAACTGGAGTGGTGCAGCTTGGTCTAGTGAAAGTCTTCTCAAAATCAAGGTGACCTATTTGTGTTTGAAGGCAGAGGAGATAGGGCCAGTAGAAGGACAGAAAAACCAACGGTGCTGAGGGAGTCGGGAAAGAGCTGATAAGGACGAAACAAAATGAGTTCTTCAGAGAAGAGGAGGGCTGCCTCTTTCTCAGGACCGTTGGGAGCAGTCGGAACATCTGAGGGAGACTTGAGAGACTCGCAGGGAGGAGACGTCCCGTCCGCACATGTTCCTGACAGGAGGCGCCGAGAGCGGAGAGGGCATGTGGGATGAAATGTGACCTTGAAATAAAACTAATCCTACTGCTTTCTCTTGTAGCCAACAACATTAATGGAGTACCCTCAGGAGGCGGCGGTGGAGCTGGCGGGGGCAGCACCCAAAAAACTCCGCTCTTCGAAGCCTACTCGGACTGGGACCGAGAAATCAAGAGGACGGGTGCCTCCGGCTGGAGAGTGTGTTCTATTAACGAGGGTTACATGATCTCCACTTGGTGAGTCCAGACTTCTTATGCCTAATAATCAGACTCTGCTCTCTGGTGACTTTCACGTTACCGTGAATGGAACATTTGTTTTTAATAGTGCTTCCGTGGGTGTTTTAAAGATAAGGGAAGAAGAGAGAAAGGAGGCTGTGTTCGGGCGCAGTGAGCTTGCCTGCTAGGAGTTGCTGTCCAGGCAGTGTCCTGGAGTCTGGGTGTCTTCTGGGGACGGAAACGGTTAGAAGGCGGAGAGAAGGAGCTAAAGCTTCTTGGGTTTGTGGCGCGGGTTTGGTTTTGTCTTCTGTACCTTTTGTCCTTGCCCGTAGAGAACAAAGATGGATATGTTTTTCAGAAACCGAATACATCTTTGATTAAAAATCATTTTGGAGAATATTTCACACATCTCCTTTGGCTGTTTTCCCTGCTATAAATATTAGTTCTGTGATAATTGACGCCATGATACATGTTTTAGGCAGAGATGTCTAGGGTCTGCCTCATCTTCCACAGTAGATGCCATGTGGCCGTCAAGTAGGGAACACACTAAATGGGCATAAATGTGTATATATGGCATCTGGAAAGCACATTTACTTGCCTAAAGCGCAGGACTGTTGTGTCACAGTTCGCTTTTTTCCTCTCCAGCCTTCCAGAATACTTTGTAGTGCCAAGTTCTTTAGCAGACCAAGATCTGAAGATCTTTTCCCATTCTTTCGTTGGAAGAAGGATGCCAGTAAGTGATGTCTGTTGGATTTCATTCACTCCGATGTCTTTTTCTTCTGCCCAGTTAAGTAAAGGCTCTGCTTCTCTCCTAGCTCTGGTGCTGGAGCCACTCGAATGGCAGTGCTCTTGTGCGAATGGCCCTCATAAAAGACGTGCTGCAGCAGAGGAAAATTGACCAGAGGTAATCAAGACACGGCTGTTGTTACTTGGGACATTTTTAGTTATCCTAAATGAGTACAGTAAACTCCTGATTACTTGAAAATAATTGGAAAACGGCATAGTTTTATTAATTAGCAGCATGTATTCTGTACATGAATTACCATTTTGAAAAAAAATGTACATATATTAAAATTAACATTGAAGTTTATACTAAACGTAATTTAACCCTTTGGCTTGTAAGACACCAGAGGATCTTACGTTGCTGACGTCTTGCTATACCAGTGTCACCTTTAACATACTTCCAAAGTGCAGTGGTTTCCGGTTGAGATACTTCAGGATAAATCAGACTCCTCTATTAGTTGAGTGTGTCTAAGGTCTTAGAGTCACAGTAGCTTGAATTGTGTTCTAATGAGCTACCACAAACAAGTTCGGCATCTGCTGCTGAAGTTACCGGTGAGCTCCTTGTCATTAAAGCGGTGGGCATTCAGCAGGCAGCAGCCATCACTGCTGCTCTGTCTGTCCCTGAAGCGCTCTGCTCCTTCCCACTCTCCTGCAGCCCCTCTTCCTCACTGGTACTCTGTGCCCTCTGCAGCCCTGGCTCTTTGCAGACTACCTAGAAGCTGTCCGAGGCCATTGCTTCCCATTCTCTATTTCCTTCTTCAAGAAGTTCATCTGTGGCTGTGGCTTCAGTGATCATAAAATTTATATCCCTAATGTGACATCTTCTCTGGAAGTCTCTTTTTTTTTTAAGATTTTATTTATTTATTTGACAGACAGAGATCACAAGCAGGCGGAGAGGCAGACAGAGAGAGGAGGAAGCAGGCTCCCTGTTAGGCAGAGACCCCAATGCGGGGCTCGATTCCAAGACCCTGGGATCATGACCCGAGCTGAAGGCAGAGGCTTTAAAACTGAGCCACCCAGGTGCCCCTCTTCCATGGAAGTCTTAAAGGCCCTTTAAACTCATGCTGTCCAAACTCAGACGCCAGCACGGGCACCATGCCCTCTCCCAGCCTGTTCTCAGAAACCCAAGAATCATCCTAGATATGTTCTCTTCCCCTTCCTTCCCCACATTCAGTTCATCAAATTCTGTCTCTTCTCTTTCTCAAAATCTTACAAACCCATGTGTATCCACTCCAGTTCGACCCCCCAGTGTGTTGTCAGGGGCCCTCATGCCTTCCTTCCGTGTCTCACCAGTACCAGGCCTGTTGCTCCAGGCCCCGGCCCCGTGGGCTATGCCGGGGCTTTCCCACCTGATGTTCATGGTGCTGTTCCGTTTTCAGGCTGTCTTTCTTCATGCTTATCCTCAAGCACTCTCTACCCCACCCTCTCAGTGCTCACTCATTCTTTATATCCCCGTTCGGACATCACTCCTGAAAATAAGCTGTCCCTCACCTCCTAAATTAGATCAGGCCTCGAGTTACACATTCTCCATGGCTGTTTTCATCGTAACACTTACTTCGGTTTTTAATTGTATATGTGTGTTAGTTTGGTTATTGCCTCTCTTTGCTACGAGGCTGTGAGCTTGTGAGCTAAAGGGACTACATTTTGGACACCGTCATACATTCAGCACTCAGGAAATACCTGCTGTATCAGATACTTATTCAATACTTACAAAATAGATGAGGAACAAAGCAACAGATCTTTGAAAACTGGCTCAGAGAGCCTCAAATTGTATATTACGCACTATTACTGGTACAGCCAGCCAGATGTTAGGGTTTTTTTCCACACTGCCGTACCTAAGAAAGCCATGTTTGTTGAAGCAAATAGCCGACAAGTGACCCTCAAAGGACCCTTCAGGTTTCTGGAAAGGAGGGTGACTGCCTTCACGTGATCTCTCATGGATTTTTTACCTTGGTCACGTTGCACGTGACCTGTCTGTTGTGTCCTGCTCCGAGGCCAGCGTTGACTGCCATGTCTGCTCCTTAAGTGCTCAGGAAGGGGCGCGGCTATTAGAGGGAAGCCTCCAGCACTGCTGGGCCAGGGTTCTTTCTAAACTCTTACAGCCAGTGGCACTTTTATCTTTTAACTTTATTAAGCTGCAAATTGTTTTAATTCCTTTGTTTTCCCAGCTCTCCCACCCTTCATAAATAAGACCGATTCTCTTCGTTGTCTGAGCTCTCTCCACCCCCTTTTCCTTAGACTCATGAGCTCAGCCCTACTGGCCTTCTCTAGGTTTCTCCACAGCCGAGCTTGTGTCCACCAGAGGACCTTTGCCCTTACTGTCCCTCTGCCTAGAGCACTTACCCACAGATCTTAAATGGCTTGTAGTCATTTGGGTTTTGGCTTCAGTATCATTTGCACAGAAAAGCCTTTCCAACCACATGACCTGAACTTGCCTATATTCATTCAGTGAAGCCACCATGGCCTTCACGCCAGCCTGTTACTTGCTCATTTATCCTCGCATCACCAAGCATAGAAGCCCTGTGAGAGCAGAGGCCCCACCGGTGTCATTCGTCTGTCTCCAGCCCTTAGAGTAGTGCCTTAGCTCATAATAGGTCTTCAAAAAATATGTGTGGCATGAATGAATGACTCAAGGATTTTGTCTTTATTAGGATTTGTAACGCAGTAACTAAAAGTCATCCACAGAGAAGTGATGTTTACAAATCAGATTTGGATAAGACCTTGCCCAATATCCAAGAAATACAGGCGGCTTTTGTGAAACTTAAGCAACTATGCGTTAATGGTAATTTCATTGTGTGTGTGTGTGTGTGTGTGTGTGTGTGTGTGTGTGTATGTGTGTATATATACGTATATGTATGTATGTATATAATGAATGGGGGTTACAGCATTGCATGAGGTATGTCAGAAATAGTTATATTCCTTGAAAATACACAAATAGACATATTTAAGTTGAGGCTCATTGAAATATCTACAAATCATTATATGTGACAATATCAGAAGCTCTTAGAAAATGAGGTGTTTAAACTGCTTTTTGTTTTGGAGGAAAGAAAGAGACCAATGAAATCACTTTCAAAGTGTGAACTGTCATGGTAGGATCCTTTGGTAAAAGTGCCAAGGAGAACAGTGAACTACCTTTCAGATAAACATACTGAGATTTTAACGCAGACAGTTACATTGTGAGATATGGAACTTGACACGGATTTCAGACAGAGCCGTGTTGTAATCTGTGTGGCCTCGGAGTTCTAATCCTGTGTTTGAGCAAGTGCTTCTCAGGCGCTTTCAGTGTGTCCCGGGGAGGGGGTGACTCACGGAAGCATCTTTGGTGTGAAGTGAGTCCTTCCTGAAGGGTGCCCAGCGAGGGCCCCTTGTTACCTAGGAGCCAGGAGAGGCAGCCACTGGGGCAGGTCTCCAACGGCGAGGGGGCACTGGCCTGGAAGGAGAGCTGGCAGGGTGGGGGGAGTGTTAAAAAAGTACAATGAGATGAATGAATTTTGGCTGTCTGATGGACTGTGACTAGAGCCTGGAGTTTGTGAGGTGAGAGACACCTGGAGACAGGCCGGGCAGGACTGGGGAGGGCATGCAGGCCCTGCCGGGAAGGTGTTCTCGTTCCTGCCGTGGTCACAGAAACCGTGTCCTGGGAGGCAGTGCGGGCGGCAAGGGAGGCGGAGAGAGGCAGGGAGGACAGGGTTTGCTGGCAGGAAGCTGTGAGTGCGGGCTGCAGATTCCAAGCAGAGGCTCCCCAGGAAAGTGAGAACCACTGGCTCTTAGGAGGCAGAGGTGCTGAGACTCTCTAGAATTTCCCTGAAAGCCAGAATGAAGGAAACCAAGGCCCAGGGAATCCTTGTTTTGTTTTTTATAGGCTTGTACCATGTCTCTTAATGTTTATATTGTTAAATGAAAATGCATAATATTTTCTTAAAGCCAGCTTTTAAATATGAAAAACTGTGATGTGTATCACTTAATTCTGATACTGGTCACGTAAAGTTCTTTAAAATGCCTAAACATGTATGTGTGTATAACTGCCATATTTATTGCAGAGCCTTTTGAAGAAACTGAAGAAAAATGGTTGTCTTCACTGGAAAATACTCGGTGGTTAGAATATGTAAGGTTTGTACAGCCACCTTCTTTTTTTGAACTTAACTTTTTTTATTTTGAAATAATTACAGACTCACAGGAGGTACAAAAACAGTGCAGTGCTCCATTTACTCCTTACCAGCTTCCCCCAGTGGTAACATCTTCCATACCTAGAATATGGTGTCAAAACCAAGTGGCACGGGGCGCCTGGGTGGCTCAGTCGGTTAAGCGTCTGCCTTCTGCTCAGGTCATGACCTCAAGCTTCTGGGATTGGGTCCCGCATCAGGCTCCTTGCTCTGCAGGGAGCCTGCTTCTCCTTCCTGCTGCTCCCTCTGCTTGTACACTCTCTCTCTGTCAAATAAATAAAATCTTTAAAATAAAACAAAACCACACCCGAGTGGCACAATGTATAGGCCTTATTCAGATTTCACCCATTTATACGTGTTTCCGTGCGTGCGTGCGGCGGTCTGTGTGTCTGTGCGCATACAGATCCCTGCAGCTGCCACAGTCAGGATAGAGACCTGCTCTGTCACCACAGGGCCTCCGTGCTGCCCCTTCAGAGTTGTATCCCCACCCCTGTCCCTGCAACCACTGATCTCTGTGTTTTGTGATTGTGATTTCAAGAATGTCATGTAAATCGGGGCACCTGGGTGGTTCAGTGGGTTAAGCCTCTGCCTTTGGCTTAGGTCATGATCTCAGGGTCCTGGGATCGAGCCCCACATTGGGCTTTCTGCTCGACAGAAAGCCTGCTCCCTCTCTCTGCCTGCCCCTCTGCCTACTTGTGATCTCTCCCTCTCTGTCAAATAAATAAATAAAATCTTAAAAAAGAAAAAAAAAAAGAATGTCATGTAAATCAATCCCCTTTTTATAAAAGGGTTAATGAGTTTCCCTGATTAAAAAAAATCAAAAGATACTCTGTTGAAGAATCATATAAATACTGATGAAATTCATAAAGGTTATTGCGAATACAGTATAGTAGAAGATTAGGTGTGTTTGATTTCATACATTTTTAAAGGAGTATTTATAGTGGAAATCTAATTTTTTGACAGTATTTTTCCCTTTCTCTTTCCAGGGCATTCCTTAAACATTCAGCAGAACTCGTGTACCTTCTAGAAAGCCGGCATCTTTCTGTCATCCTACAAGGTAATTCATTACCAGTGACACTGGTCACCATGCCAGGTGGCTCAGTGACTGTCTGCAGTCCGTTCAGTCACATGGCTCCTAGCCATCTCTTACTGTCCACAGTGCCACCAGACACTACAGCTTCTGCAACTCAGTCAAGGACAGCTGTGGTCCAGCGGCAGCAGACAGAGGAATAGAAGGGAGTCCACTTTTCTGCCCTGTGTTAAACCTTCCTTCCTGTAGCATGAGAAGTGTGGGTCACAGCTCCCGCTGGAGTCATACAAAGTGTTAATCTTGGCAGAGCGTCCTTTCTCTCTAATGTTACGTTTTGAATTCATACAGATTTCAGTTTAAATGCCTTTGGATCACGCTGGGTTGGACTCTAAAGAGTTGGGTATCAAAAAATTGAGTTGAATAGCCAATAATGTGAAGTTTGTCTGATGTTTAGGAGCAGTACAGTACAATATAAAAATATTTCAGTTAAGCAAAGGATAATTATATGTGAAATAACTTTACAGCTAAAAGAATTTCTAAGCTTACCAATGATGAAGTTTCATAAACCATGAGCTACCTTATTTTATGACATTCACATTGCATAGTTTATGAATATGCTATGCTACTAAAGCTTACAAAAGTATTTTTACCAACTGTCAAATTTAACTGACTTGAGCAAAGTAAAGATATTTAAAACCTTTCGGGGGAGAAAAGAATAGTGATACACTATTTCAAGTAATCCTTAACTGATGCAGTCAGAGTTATTTAATTCACAAATGCGTATAGAACCCAGCAACCCAGTAATCTGTCCTCTGAGCCTGTGGGTGTTCTTACCCTATTGCAAAATCCTACTTAGCGCATGTTTTGAAGCACTTGTTATAATACAAAAAGCTTAGAAGAGATACCGAGCCTACATTTTACTAACACTTTTATTTTGCAGAACATGTTTTTGAAATAGGTTATTGTTCACTTAGTGTAAAATTCACCCATTCTGGGGCGCCTGGGTGGCTCAGTGGGTTAAAGCCTCTGCCTTCGGCTCAGGTCATGATCTCAGGGTCCTGGGATCAAGCCCCGCATCGGGCTCTCTGCTCAGAAGGGAGCCTGCTTCCCCCTCTCTCTCTGCCTGCCTCTCTGTGTACTTGTGATCTCTCTCTCTCTCTCTCTGTCAAATAAATAAATAAAATCTTTAAAAAAAAAAAAAAAATTCACCCATTCTGAGTGTAGAAATCAATATTTTTTAGTAAATATACAGAGTAACTGTAGAGTTCAGAGTCCAGTTTTAGAAGTTTTTTATCACACCAAAAAGATTCCTTGTGTCCCAGCCCTAGACAACCATTAGTCTGCTTTCTGCTTCTGTAGATTGGCTCTATCTGCATGTGTCATGGAAACAGTCATACAGTATGTGATCTGTTGCTTCTTGCTTCCTTCATTTCACACATGTTTTCAAGGTTCATTCATGTAGCATGTAGCATGTTTCTTTTTATTTCTGAATAGTGTTCCTTTGTCAGTACCACATTTTATTTATATATTAGCTATTGATGGACATGGGTTTATTTCCATGTTGTGGCTGTTATGAATTATGCTGCTGTGAACATTTCTTTAAAAGTCTTCATGGGGACATACTTGTTTATTTCTTGTGGGTAGGTGCTTAGAAGCGGAATCACTCAAGTCTAGGAGTTACCATCCTTAAAGAATGACATTGGTTGTGGGTTTTCATAGATTCCTCTTATGAGGTTGAAGTATACCTGTATTCCTCGTTTGATGAGAGTTTTTATCGAGAATGAACTTTGAATTTTGATCACACACAATTTTTATGGATCTAATGAGATGATTATGTTATTTCTATCATTGATTTTATTTATATGAAGTGTTACTTTGTTAGGTGGATGTTAAACCAACCTTGCATTCCTGGAATAGATTCTTGCATTCATGAGATAATTTGACTTGCTCATATTTTGTTAATGATTTTATAATCTAATACAAGGGATACTGGTAGACATTTTTTTTCCCGATTTCTTTGGCTGGCTTTGATATCAGGGTATTTACTGGCATTATTGAAATGGATGCAAGCTATAAAAGATGGGAGGAAAATGTTTGCCACCTTTTCAGGTGATGGTGGACCGTCCCGTCCCCTTCATTCACTTCTGAGTCACCAGATGGAGTTGCCAGTAGAAAGAGTATATTTAATGTTCTTAGGAAATAGAAGTAGAACAGACTCATGCAAGATTTTCACCACAAATCACTGAAATGTAAAAAGTGTGATGCCTGTGCTGTTTTCTGGAAAATATTCATGTATAAAAGACTATCTCCCATTAGACACTAATTGATCTGAAAGTCTGTAATGTTTTAGAGTTGCTGGAATCCAGTGAACTTTCCTAACTTGGATTATTTTGAAGGCAGCCTAGGCAGAGAGTAATGTATTATCCACTTTATTCTTTCTTCCCCTTTTCTCAGCATTTTTCTAAGTAGTATTCGTTTTCTTTCCATTTTCTTGACAGAGGAAGAGGGAAGAGACTTGAGCTGTATTGTAGCTTCTCTTGTTCAAGTGATGCTGGATCCCCATTTTAGGACAATCGCAGGATTCCAGAGTCTGATCCAGAAGGAGTGGGTCATGGCCGGATATCAGTTCCTAGACAGATGCAACCACTTAAAGAGATCTGAGAAAGAGGTAACAGAATCATAATGCTCCCTGGGAGGGAGTCTTTAAGTGTATACAAGATAAAATTCACATCATCCTGTGAAGGGGTATTCTGTCTGTATAGAGATGAGGAGCCTTTTTTAAATGTTGCATTTGGTACCTCTTAGCTTCTTTAGTCTAAGGCTAGTGATGGATTAGCATCCAAATTGATGCACTTAAAAAGATGGCTATAACTGTAGAAGTGAAATTCAAAAAAAAAATCGTTGCATTTCTCCCAAGTTGAAAACTACTTGAAAAAATGCTGTATTATCTCTTCTGCAAAGCAGGTAATGAGCACGTTAGGTATTTTGAAAAATCAGTTTTTGAATATCACATTTTCTTAAAATGGGGCCCATGTGTGGAGAATGGAAAGTTGGAGAGGGTCATCTTTGTGAGGGCTGTGGGCATTGTGAATGGCTCCGCACTCCTCTCATGGACGTGCTTGTCGTGGGGAGCGCAGCCTGACTCGCGGGCTCTCAGTTTCACCACCACCTTCTGAGGAAATCCCAGCAGTGACTGCTTCACTTTTAAGTTGCCGGGACCCCGAGATACAATGGCTGTCTTCAGCTGCTGAACTTGGCGACCCACCATATGACCAAGAGACTGACGCCAACCGCATCCTGAAACTCTGCCAAGTTTTCTGGATGCTGAGCCTGCACAGTCCACCAGAAGCGAATACAGAGGTCGCTTTTTGCTTTGGGATTATTTTTTTCTTTTTTTCAGTGTTCTAAAGAATTATTTCCAGGGCAGGCTTCATCACATCTTTTAATGTTCCCCATTCATACAGTGCCAACCTGTCTGTTGACTTTGCCATCTTCGGCAAGGAAGGGCTGTGATGTTTATGGCAGTTGAACCTACTTCTGAGCTTTGACAGAAGCTGTGTTTAACCTGCCTGCATAGCCTTGGCTCAGCTTGGGAGCTTAGTGTTTTAGGCTGAGGGGTGTTCTTAGTAATCTCTTCCTTAATGTGAGCCATAAATTTGGAAATAAATGGGAACAGTTGAAGGCCAACACTGAATGATCCCATTTTCTCTCTGTGTCTGCCAGTCTCCCTTATTTTTGCTGTTTTTGGATGCCACGTGGCAGCTGCTAGAACAGTACCCGGCGGCCTTCGAGTTCTCAGAGACGTACTTAGCAGTGCTCTACGACAGCACCCGCATCTCCCTCTTCGGCACCTTCCTCTTCAACTCTCCTCACCAGCGTGTGAAACAAAGCACGGTAAGTGATGTGTGGTGATAGCAACTGCTCGGTTTGTCTTACAGCTTTATGGAGGTAGAATTAAAGTACAGTTAGCTGCATGCTGAAAATACATCAATTAAAACTGTCTTAGCTACCATTTTAAGCTGCAGTTTCTGAATGAATTATTTAAAGACATAAAAAATCTAGGAACCTGTTTCATTTTTATGAGTGGGCACGTTAGGTGTTTTTCTCTGATGTACATTGTTCATAATAAACCAGTTTTACGGGCGCCTGGCTGGCTCAGTCGGTAGAACATGTGACTCTTAATCTCAGGGTCATGAGTTCAAGACCCTTGTTAAGCATGGGGCTTACATAAAAGAGAGAGAGAAAGAAAAAGAAAATGTGATATGTAACAATTTTTAAAAACCAGTTTTTAAAAATGTACATTATTTTAACCACTGTACATGTTGTACTTTTATATTCATATTTTCACATTTGGGCTGTCCGGATCGATAATTAAAAAGGTTCTGCTAGAGGACTTTTATTTCCTGGAATAAAAGTTGTACAGAGCAAGATTATTTTCTTTAAGAGTTGTGTGGGAAGGACTGTCAGAGATGAAGGGTCCCATGGTGCTAGACTGAGATTCTCAGTGGTTGCTGGCTTACCAGGTAATCTCAGAATCCGTGTCACCTGCCACACAGCAGTCCTATTGGGGTAGGATTATCAGTTTCTGGTCACATTTCATTGACCTAGAGGAAGAATCATGACTAAGGAGGGTCTCAAGCCAAGCTTGAGAATAACTTCTGATTGCCATTGGTAGAACCTTCCAGAACCATAGGTTTTGGCTCACCCACATTTGAACCAGCAGTGGGAACAGCTGGTATATGCTGTGATAACCATTGAGAGAAACAAAAAGGGCAGCTCTTGTGGGCCTCTCGGAAGACTTTCTAAGGAGGTTGCCGTCTTGGTGAGGGGTAGGGTCCTCAGCCTTGGCAGTAAGGCCCTCGGCCAGGCGACGTAGCCTGGATTAACGTGAGTCCCGCCCAGTGTCCGGGGGAATGGTGAGCCCAGGTTTCCTCATCTGTAAAAATGGACTCACCAGACTAACAGTATTACCTTTGGCCCCATTCTGTGAATTGAAAACATTTTGTAAACTGTGAAGCATTATGCTGCACTGTTTCCTAAAGAAATGAATCGTTCTAGATGTGGATATGAAAGACAAAGTGCACTGGACATTTGAGGAGATGATTTTATTCAGGCTGTTGTAATACGAATAGGAAGAACTTTATTAATGAGGAACACCCCAAAGTAAAGGAGGAGACCTGGAGGCTTACTACAAGAGACAGGAGACGTGAGGGAGCAGGTCTGGGCTTAGAGTAGGTGAGCCATGTCTCAGTAGTGCTGCTTTCCAGGGGCTCAGGGCTGGAGAAACTTAGCACTGTCATAGGGTATTTATTTTAGGTTGGAGAGTTGGGAAGGAGATTTTCATAAAATATATTCTCTGCTTCCCTAGAAGAATGTAACCTATCCCAGTCCCATGCTGAGACCAGCAGTGGGCTTGGGCTCCTGAAGTGTGGTGAATTCTGTTCCTAAACTAATGGACTCCAAGTTGCTCCTTTTTGTTTCTCGTCCACTGGCCGTCTTCCTTGCTGGGCTGTGGTGGTGCTGTGCATGGCACTGCTTGCCTGCCCTGGTGCTTCTCCCCTCCTCTCCCTTCACTGTCCTGCAAGCACACCCGTACACACACACACACACACACACACACACACACACACACACACAGACACACACTACACGCACGTGAGCCTTCAAAATGTACATGAGGCTAGGAAATGAGACAGCCTTGTTAGACGGTAAAACCTTGGATGTAAAATGCTAGTACGTCAGCCTGGCAGTCCCCATGACCACCGTGCCTTGGGTATGTGGCGGGGGGGGGGCTCTGTGGAGCCCAGGTTGGCCTCCTAGAGACAGTCACTCCTCCCACTGCTTCTTGGCTGGATTCTGGATGTGCCGACATAGGTTTACAAATAGATTTCTAGGGGCGCCTGAGTGGCTCAGTAGGTTAAGCCTCTGCCTTCGGCTCGGGTCATGATCTCAGGGTCCTGGGATCGAGCCCCGTATCGGGCTTTCTGCTGGGCAGGGAGCCTGCTTCCACCTCTCTTTCTCTCTCTCTGCCTGCCTCTCTGCCTACTTCTGTTCTCTCTCTCTGTCAAATAAATAAAAAATAAATCTTTAAAAAAAAAAAAACAGATTTCTATGGAGGAATAAAAGTTAAATATTTTTTTAATCTGTTTTTCCTGGTCTGTCCTCCAGTGCTATATTTTTTTAACTTGGCTTTTTTCAAAAGCTGTTCCTGGCAAGCACTAACATCAGATCCCTCCTGCCCTCGGTGCTTTATTATTCATGATTTGATCTTACAGCCAGACTACAGGCCAGCAGTGCCGCCTCTGCCTTCCCTGGGAAACTGACTGTGGTGGGAAACTGACTGTTGATTTGAGGTCCTGATTTTTAGCACGACTGCTGTTCTCAGTCCCTTCTACAAAGACTTTTCCTTCTTTCTCCATTCTGAGGCCACCTTAGATGCTCATGGTCAGGTACTATTTGTGGAAAATCTCATCTTCCTTGGAGATGTTTTTAGTTTCACATTAAAAAAAAAAAAGACTGATTTCTATATATTTTCCTAAGTAGGCCATTAAAACAGGTTGGGGTTTATGTTTTATTAGATTTCAACTCTTAACAATAGTATTTTTTTTTAAACAAACTGATTGTTTCTATATGCACATATATGATGAAATCTCAAATAACTAAATATATTTGGTGCTTAATGGGTTCAGTTTTACTCATTTGAAATAGACAGTGTTGTAAACTGCCCTGTGCTGTTAGATAGCTTAGCTGTTTCTGGCTGGCCCCGAGTCGACATGGCGTGGGTCACACCTGGTCACGCGTGTGGCACGGAGCTGGCCTCCTCACTTCAGCGCTGCTTTTCTGATGACACTTAGTCTTTGCCTTTTTTCCTAATTTCCAAAGAAACTGGTTTTTTGGAGAATACTGAAAGGTACACAGAAAATAAGAATCCATCGTCTCCCACCATCCAGAGAATCGGTGTCCTGAGATATTTCCTCCAGAGAGCTAATAATCTGCATAAACCTGCTTTTGTCACTCAGCCGAGATGAGGATCATGCTCCTCTTGAGATGCTCCTCACCTCCTCTACGCAGACGCAGTGGGTTGTCAGCCCGCATCCTAGTGCCACTGGCTCCCCGGGCCGCGTGAGCCCGGGGAGCAGGTGGTCCGGCTTCCGTGCATGGTCTTCATGGTCTTGGCCAGACACCAGGACTGTGCACAGTGTGGGGGGGGCGGCTTCCTTCCTCGCTGCTCCTGGGCTATGGTTTGGATTTCAAAGGTCACTGGGTAAGTGCAGGGTGTCTCTCCACTTAGAAAAATGGGGTAAAATAGACGCCAGTGATTTCCATCCGAAGATTGTCTTGCACATCCATTCGCCAGTAAATGTGTAAGTGTACCATCGTGTGCTCAAAAAGTAAAATGCTCCTAGTGCAGAAGTAACTGCGCCATGTTTCAGACTCTGTGGTATCATCTCTGTGAAATTTCACTTCTAATCACATCTCGGAGGCCCCGCTTCCTTGGGGTCTTCCAGGAGAAAAGGCCCTCTGCTCGCAACCACAGCATGTGAGGTGTCCCTCTGAGGCATGGTGCCAAGAATGTCTCTTCTCTCAAAGCAAAACATGCTGCCCTCGGGAAGTAGAGTTGCTATAGTCCAGAAAATTCAGCTTAAATAGTGATGAGTGGCTCATCACAAAAAAGGAATGTATTTAAGAAAATCTTTCATTTGACATCTTTTCACAGATGTTCAAATATTTTATTTTGCAGGAATTTGCTATCAGCAGAAATATCCAGTTGGGTGACGAAAAGGGTTTAAAATTCCCCTCCGTTTGGGACTGGTCTCTTCAGTTTACAACAAAGGATCGCACCCTTTTCCATAACCCCTTGTACATCGGAAAGAGCACGCCTTGTGTGCAGAACAGTTCTGTGAAATCTTTCAAACGGACAAAGGTAAATTACAAAAAGGCACTGACGATAAAAACCTGGTATCTTCCCTTAACGACAGTGCCAGAACAGATTCTGAGGGATCATTTGCTTTGTACCTGAAATAACCCTGCCCCGACTTTTCTTCTTGGCGACCGAAGCCCACAGAGCTCCCTCAGCCTCTGGGATTTAGCAGATAGGAGCTCTGAGCCTGGGAGGCCCCATTCCTGAAACCCGTCTGCTTGCCTCTTCTTTCTAGAATGAGCCAGGTCTGCACTTTTTCCTAACTGAGAAGTCTTAGAAATTTGCATTTAAGCAAATTACTGAACAGGATGTATCCCCTCCCCACCCCCATGCAGGCAAGTGCTGAGAGCCAGAGTCCGTTCCTAAAAACGTGGAACTCCAGTGGAGGAGGATCGGGATGAGTATTACAGGGAAGGAACAAAATGTTCTTTATGGCCGCAGTTCCACCATCTCTCATAGTACTAGGCTTCTGTTTGCCACTGCCTCTTTACTCTCTTTCCAAAAAGGGGAGCCCAGGAGAAATAATGCGAAACCCTGTCTTCTGCACAGAAAAGCTACAGCTCCACTCTGAGAGGAATGCCAGCTTCCTTAAAGAACGGGATCATCGGTGACCAAGACTTAGTTCCGAGGAGAAATTCATTAATATTAAAAGCAAAGCCTGACCCTCCTCAGCAGCCCGACGGCCAGAGCAGCGGGATGGAGCGGTACTTCAGGGAGTGGTTTTCCAAACCAGCCGACCTGCACGGCGTCCTCCTGCCGCATCTCTCGGGGACACACGTGAAGCTCTGGAAACTCTGCTACTTCCGCTGGGTGCCCGAGGCCCAGATCAACCTTGGGGGCTTCATCACTGCCTTTCATAAGCTCTCCCTGCTGGCCGACGAGGTGGACGTGCTCAGCAGGACGCTCCGGCAGCAGCAGGCTGGGCCTCTGGAAGCCTGCTATTCGGAGCTGGACAAGAGCAGAATGTACTTCCGGGCCAGCGGCCCGCACGATGCCTCGGCGACGCCCGACTTCCTTTCCTCCTCCTTCCCCTTCTCCCCCGTAGGCAACCTCTGCAGACGAAGCATTTCAGGAACACCATTAAGCAAATTTCTAAGTGGGGCCAAAATATGGTTATCTACTGAGACACTAGCAAATGAAGACTGAAATGTACTATTTTCTGAACATTTTGAGGGCAGCCATAAACTTGCCCTCTGACTTAAAATTGCTAACCTAGGCATTTGAGGCTCCAAGAATTTTCTGTCAGAATAACAGTTGAAATTTGCACTAATATTTAAAAATATGTTGAATTGTGCGTCTTTCATAATTTTTTTTAAAAAATAGGCAGAACTTTTCTTTCTTATGGCCTCTTTTTTGTCATTTCAGGCCTAGCTTAGTTTTAGGTGATCTGTAGGCAGACATTACCCCACTCTTAATACTGTGAGCAAACGAATCAGGTTTTGTCTGTGACATTTATTTTGTCCGCATCCATTTTCTCCTGCCACCTTCTAAAGGTTACCTGGTCCTCAGGTGAGCACCCCAAAGAAGCAGACACCAGGAAAGCTAAGAAATTAATTTTAAGTAGATTTTCAAGATGCATCCGGTAAGCGCCCCCCACAGGCGTTAGGTGGTATTTGTATATTTTTCTGGTCACTTGGTTCTCGCTAATGGAACTCACCTGAGGGTTCAGTATTTCCAGGGCCATAATTTATTGGCGGTCACCTTGTTTGGTACCGTAGATCACTGTGTTTTAAAATCATGAGTTTGCTTTTACCTTCATAGGACTAACATGCACTGTTGACTTTAAAAGATTTGCTGTAGATAATACAAACTTAGAAGTGCCTTTGACATTAATATTAATTAAGGTATGCATTAACACAAAGTAAAACACAATTTCAGTTTTTAAAATTAGGGTGTTAAAAGCCTACATATTAGAAACAGGTTTCTCACCACTGAGCTTCATACCAATAGCCAGGAGTGCCCAGAACTACATTTCCTTCCCTCTGAAAGTCAGCGAGGACACCGCGGTCCTGTGGGGATGACCAGGTTGGTGACAGCAGGAGGGGTGAGTGCTGTCCATGCGGAAATCCACCCTCAAAAATAGAGGTCTTGCTCAGGCATTTAGGGCATTGCCCATCAGGATTTCCAGTGCGGTTAACTGTTGCTGACACTTTTCCCTTGGAAATCACTAATGAGGTGGTGAGTCTGCTCACCTGTACAGAAGGCCCTTCTCCCACGGACAAAGTTCTTAGTGGTTAGGTATAGACAACAGGACAAATAAAAGGGTACTCCTCTCAAAATACTGCCACCTTAATGTGGAGAGAAGCCCCCCACTCCTGGCCTCTGCCAGCAGTATCGCGATGGAGAAGCACAAAAAGGTGTGTGTTGGTCCGGTTGTGGGACAGGAGCCCAGGCCACACAGTGGGGGCCCCGAGCAAGGCTCGAAATGGCAATGGCGGTCAGCAGCACACCCCGGTCCCTGTTTATAGGATGGATGTTTTCGAATTGGGCGGTTACTTAGAGTTTCTTAAACTGCCACCTTAAGCTTTAAAGAAGTTTTATAGTGAAGTGGTTAATCTTTTCTAAAACAAGTTTTTTTCGAAGCCGTATTTTACTGTTAATGTGTAATGAGTAGCTGTTTCTATTTGAATTATTCTCCTTTTTTACAAATGATATCTCTGGACTTTAAGGACAGAAGTTTTTAGAAAATGCCTTAAGAAATTCATCTTGTGGCTAAACCCAATGTTTTTGCCAGCTTGTTGCCTAGAAGATAAGGGCTTTTTTTCAGTTTATATAAAAAAATAGCACTGTTGCCATTAAACATTTTATAGTCCTTGATTGGAAACCAGTCCCAGTCCCCTTAAAATCTCACAGCGTATCCTGCCTTAGAAAGTGTAATAATTCTCCCTTTTTGGTTAAGCTGCCTTTTTATTATTACAGATTATCCTAAATTGGGGGATGTTGGAGAGGGATTGTTGAACATTTATTTCTTTATACTTCTCTTTCCTCACACATTTATTTCAATCCCTTTAGCAATTTTTTTGTTGTTAATTTACAAGCTTAAAAAAATTAGGTACTATTAATACTGTTTTAAAATAGAAAATGTGCATATTTTTGTATGATAATCAAATGTACTAAAAATGGTTTTTCATTTTATTTTTGCTGGACAGTTGTTATATCATGATTATTGTGCCACAATTTACCGTGCATAATATGAAGAACAACTATACCGGCTTTAAGTCCTGGCTGTTGTAGAGCTGCCCGGCACCTGTGCTGGCAGAAAGGCAGTGGTGGTGACCGAAGTCTTGGTGTGGTTATGGACGCCGCGCTGAAGAGCGCCTCACGCTCCGGCCCCTCTGCCCTGCGAGCCAAGTGTGTGCCGACCGGATGCCACGCGGCCCTCACAGCTTGGGACTTTGTAGTACTGAACTGAAAGGTGTACAATGTCTTACTGTTATTTTATGATGGAAACCAGTTTTAAAACCAAAAATGTCTTAACTTTATTTAAGAAAAGTATATTAATTTGTGCTAACAGAGGGTTAAAATTCGTCTGCGTACCTTCAAGAAAACCTGCCTGCCGTAGCAGTAACCTCAAGTAGTTAGAACTTGATTTTGAGAGAAAACTAAAACCTTTGTGCCTAAAATTCTGACTTGAGTTAAAGTAGGATGAGCAGGAAGTGAGAGATCTTGTTCAGCAGTGATGAATGTGAAGGAAATTTTGACTGCTAAATAAAATTTCCACAGAAATTGGTTGCTGTAGTTATCAATACAAAATCATCTACAAGAATGCAGTGATTCAAGAAGCAAAGGCATTTTCTTACAACAATACTTGTGTGGGTCTCATACACTCCATTTTTTTGCCTGCTCTAATCAGAACTGGCTATAGTTAAGACCATGTGGGTATTAATGGACAATGCCCTAACCTGTCCTTCCATTCACTAAATTACCAAGCTGGGGAGTAACATTTCCCTAAAAATGTCTCCGAACTAGTCTGGGGGGAAACTGGGGCCCCCATCCCGGACTCCTGGTCCTATCATCCTGGTTAGTTGCCTTCCTACCATAGATCTTCCTTGGCTTAGAGCTCTTGGGAAGAGCCCTATTGCAATTACACCGTCTATATAGAAAATTGCCCCTCTAGTCATTAGGTTAGGGATGAAAAGGGACAGTTGCCTTTGATAAAGACTGTTCATTCCTTTGATAATCTAGGCCCAATTAGTAAGAGCAAGTTAAAAGTTACAGAACTTAATGAGAATTTATTTTTAATTCCCAGAGAAAGAATTTGTGCCCTTCTTTAGATAATCCTAAAGCAAGAATGTTCAACAGCTGAGTGTATCAGGGCAGTAGAGAAAACCTTAAATTCAGGTCTCTCCAATGTACTTACTAGAAACATCAAGAATGTTATTTTTATGAAAGACCAAAAGCTGTGAAACATTCCACTTGTTTGGTTTTTTTCCCAGCTGTTTTGCAAGTCTAGTTTAATAACGTAGATGCATCCATTTCCTAAAATGGCCACCAAGGTACTGACCTAGAAAATTCATTACCTGCTCTGTGTGATCAATGAGTACATTTGAGCCAAGACCAAGTTTTATGACACACAGACACTGTACAATGATGGGTCTTAAACTCTCAGGTTTATTACTGACATAACAAAATCAAAGTTAAATAAAATGTAACGATGCTTTATACTTTTGAAAATCAATCCATTTGTCACCAGACACCCCCCAACTCCACAGCTTAGTTAAGTGAGGCTTTTGCTCTTAGCTCCAATGGCAACCACGTGGCAGACTTCTACCTCTGCCCCCAGCTTCTGCAGTTCATCCAACCAGAGCATTTGCTTATGTGAAAGACGATCGTTGGGGCCTTTAACTTCCACCAGCTGGAATGTAAGTTTTAAAAAAAAGTTATTAGTATTTTACTGAAACAATAGCCACGTATGCTATAGTAGTTTCACCTATACTGCTCTACTTACATATATAAAATAAAGATACATGTATGGAACTCAGAATTATTCTGTAGAAAGTAGACAGTTCTTCACAAAGAACTAGTAATTTGATTCTGATTATACAGGTGAAAAGCAGTTTTAAAGCATGCACTAGATTGTTGCTCCTGTGCTTAAAACCCTTTGATTACTTTCTGTATATTTGCAGTTAAATCCAAACTTTTGCCAGGACCTCTAAAACTATGATCTGGACCGTGCCAACCACTCCAAAGTTCCTGAGAAAGACCAACCTCTTCCCAACTGAAGGGCCCTTCCATATGCTTGCTGTTCCCTCTGCCCGGGACATTTCTTCCTGTTCTTCACAAGTCTGACTTCTTACCCTTCAATGCTTAGCTTAAATTCATCTCAAGAGAGGTCCAGCACATCTCTAAGCAGGATCCTTCCTATGTACTTCCTCCACGGCATTTACCCGAAGACAAAACTGTGCATTACATACCAGCTTCATGAAGGCAGGAACACTGTCAGTTTTATTCATTGCAGATTAATGAACTTCAAAACAGCAATAAAAACTATCCAGATTTTCCAAATTTGATGGAAACTATAAACCCAAGGATCAATGAACCCCAAGAAAAGAAACATAACACTACACAAAGAAACAATTAAGTCGCATAATTGGTGATAAAAGGAATATTCTAAAAGCAGCTAGAATTTTTTAAAACCTAAAGGGCTTTAAAAAACAATGCAAGCTAGAGGACAATGGACCATTATTTCAAAATACTGAAAGAAAAAAGCTATCAACATAGAATTTTTTTCTTCAGAGAAAATACCCTTCAAAAGCAAAGATGAAATAAAGACTTAGACATAGAAAACCTAAATAATTCATCACTAGAAGGCCTCCATTTCAAGAACTGTTAAAGTTCTTCAAGCAGAAGGAGGACGACATCGCATGGAAATGTGGATCTTTACATAGGAATAATAAGCAGAATTTTTATCTGGTGGAGGGGGTGCCTGGATGGCTCAGTCAGTTAAGCATCCAACTCCTGATTTCAGCTCAGGTCACGATCTCAGGGTCCTGGGATCAAGCCCTGTATTGGGCTCCATGCTCACCAGAGGCTTGAGGATTCCCTCCCTCTCCCTCTTCATCAACCCCTCCCCCTGCTCATGTTCTCTCTCTCTCAAATAATTAAATCAATCTTTGAAAACAAATTGTATCTAGGGGAGGAAAAATAATTTGTATCTATGTGAGTAATTACAAAGATTCTTAAATCAACTGTAGAAAACAAAAAAAAATGTAGAGTTTGTAACATGTAGAAATACAATGTATGAACAGTACAAAAAGACCAGGAGAGGAGATACAAAAACATACTCTTGTTCTTTATACTATACAAGGGATGGCATAAAACATCACCTGAAAGATGGGAAGTTTAAGATCTACACAGTCAACATTGGAGTGTTGACACTTAAAGAATTATAACTAGCAAGCTAACAAAGAATTAGAACACAATCTTTAAAAAAAAAAGAAGAAGAAAAATGTGAGAAAAGGAGAACAAGAAAGCTCAAACAGAAAACAAGTATCAAGATGGTAGCTTTTTTTTTTAAAGATTTTATTTATTTATTTGACAGACAGAGATCACAAGTAGGCAGCGAGGCAGGCAGAGAGAGGGAGGAGGAAGCAGGCTCCCTGCTGAGCAGAGAGCCCAATGCGGGGCTTGATCCCAGGACCCTGAGATCATGACCTGAGCCGAAGGCAGAGGCTTTAACCCACTGAGCCACCCAGGCGCCCCTCAAGATGGTAGCTTTAAAGCCAATTATCAATAATCACATCAAATGTAAATGGTCCAAATACCCAATTAAAAGGCAAGAGGTTGTCAAAGTGAATTAAAAAGTCATACCCAGGTATAATGCTGCCTACAAGAAGCCTGTTAAAGATGAAACAAGTTAAAGTAAGAACAGAAAAAGATACGTCCTGTTAGCACTAATCAAAAGAAAGCTGGAGTGGCCATTTACTAGTATCGGTTGGTTTCTGAGTGGAGAACACTACCAGGAATAAAAGAGGGTCATTTCATGATGATGAAGAGATCAACTCATCAAGTGGATGTGACAGGCCTTCAAATTTATACATCTAATCACAGAGCTTCAAAATATAGGAAGCAAACTGGAGAGAACTAAACTGCAAGGAGAAATACACAAATCCACACAGTTCCAGTCTGAGATATCCCATGATCCCAAAAGCATGATCCGTTAAAGAACAGAGAAGTTGGACTTGGCCAAAATTTAAGATTTTTGCTCTTTAAAAGATACTATTATGAGCATGAAAAGATAAGCCACAGCCTGGGATAAAATATATCTGATACAGGATTTGTATCTAGAATTTTATTTTAATCTCAGAACTCAGTAATAAAAACCAACCTGGGATGCAGCAGGGGAAGACCAAGGTGAGGCAAGGTGGCCCTCGGCCCTGAACATGTGACAAGGCATTCACTCCTGGGAGCTTAGAGAACAGCACCCCATCATCTCAGCCTCCCGGTGTTCACACCTGCAGAATTTCTTCCCTTGGACGGGGGCACTGGAATCTGTGACTTGCTTCTAACATAAGAATACAGCAAAAGTGATGGAAGATCCCTTCCAGGATCCGGTTATAAGAGACTGACTCCCATCTTGCTCACACTCTGGCTCTTCTCGCCTGCATGCTCTGATGAACGAGCTGCTAGGTGGAGTGTTGTGCGGCGGAGAGGAGAGGCCTCCACAGCCCCTGGTGTGGAGGTCCCGCCAACAGCCACTGAAGAACCAGGGCCCTCAGTCCAACAGCTTTCAAGGGATTCGATCTTGCCAACAATCATCCAAGAAATGCCTAGACTGGAGCCTTTGCTTAAGTTGCTAATGAAATTATCATGGAAATAGGACTTTCCATTCTGATGCAACTGACCTTACAGCGACGGCTCTGGGAGTCCCACACCACCAGGTCGGGGAGGCCCCCTCGGCAGTGTCGGAAGTCTGTGGCCAGGCGCCGGCACACACCACTGAGGATGGGGCCGCCCAAGCAGGAAACGAGGTCCTGAGCACAAAACACAGGGCTGGTTAGCCATGCCTTACAACAGAAATCCTAGAATACTTTCACTGATCACAAAACAGAGAAAACTGTAATTCCACAGAGGATTCCAAGGACAACAAGGGTCGTTCTGCTGCTTGGGCCAGGGCCACGGCCACAGGGCCACTGGCCAAAATGCCCACCACAAACTCTGGGAAATTAGGTTTCCTTTGCCCAGTCAGACTTCTATCTAGTCGGGAAAACCCTGGGGAACAGCTGAGGAAAGAGGGAATTTGGTGTAAATCCTCAGAAACAGGACAAGGATGAAGGCCAGTAGTTGCAGGGACAGGAAGAGCACCTCCCTACTGAGGGTCATAGGTCAGGCAAAGGGAAGCTGTCAGCTAAGGGGAAGAAAGCAACACTGGGCTTACTCTGTGTCCTGATACGGTCCCACTGATAACAGGGACATCTGGACTAGGGGACTAGCATCTCCACGAATGTATATGCAGGACCATCACATAGAGAAATATGCGTGCACATACACATGCACACACGTGTACAGATCTTGCCAGAAGCACACCCAGCACTGGGGGGTGGCACTTTCTGGCCAACTCTTCCTGCAGATTTTCACCTGAGCTTGCTGAAGAGAAGCAAAGCGATCCCAGCTGACAAGGGAAGCCACTCTGCCCTCCTGTGCCTGCCACACAGCTGCCACCCAGGCGCGCAGGCTCTCCACGGGCGCACTGTGAATCTGCTGCAGCCTGGCCTCGATGGCCGGCTGCCGGCTGGCGCAGAAGCTGTCCGTGCACAAGTCCAGCGGGAAGGCCTGCATCGTGGGGAAAACAAGCCCTCGTTCGGTGCCCGGACAGAGCCGGGGTCATCAGAAGAACACTTGATACCATAAAATCTGGGAAACCGGCCAATCGTATTAAACTGACACATTCTTCTTCTCAAAAGAGAAGTAAAAAATTAAGTAATCGCACATAAAGCAACTTATTGCACTGGCTTGTCAGAGTCGTAATCGGTAAAAAGAGCCTTCGGTTTACATCGGCGGTGCTCTCAGCAGGCGCGCGCCACAGCACACGCGGGGAGGCCTGGCCCTGACAGGAGAATGACTGGTTAAGGTCGAAGCTGAGGAAACCCACACTACAAGTTCAAGTGGAATGAAGGTAAAGTAGGTTCAAGGTGAAAACTTAACAGACTTACATTTTAAGATCTATGAATCCGAATGTAAAACTAAAGACTATTCTTACAGAGAATCAGCACCATCCCAGAGCCCGTCACTGGCAGGCTTCTGAAGCCTGCAGACACGGCCCGCAGGCAGGCAGGAGGCACAGAGTGCAGGAGCCGCTGCTCGCCTAAAAAGCACACCCAGGGTCCGGCGTGACCTGCGCACCTGGTAGGCGTTTCTGAAGACGTCTGGTATCCCGTCCATGAAGACTATATCCCACAGGAGGAGGCCGAACAGCGTGCTGAAGGTGGACCCTTCCCCATGAATCCCTAAGACAAAGCAACACACACAGCAAAGTCAGGTTTTTCTGTTTTTTAAAAACCCACCATAACCTATTGTTACTCAATTTGAAGGAAATGATAGATTTTAGTTTCAAATGCAAAAGCTGTTTTCTTGCCATTCCTAACTCATCTGTTTACATCACTTTGCTTATGTACAGAATGCTCATTTAAAAGCAAAAATCTTAGTAATTATGGGGAAACTCAGACCCATAAAGTAACAGTTCTCCAACTTTAGTGAGAAATGTAAGGAACATGTTTAAAGATAAATAAATGAAAGCAGATTCCCTCCTCAGGTTCCTGGGGTTCGATTTGGCAGGTGTGGGTGGGCGTGTGGGGCTCTGTGCAGGGTCCTGCAGCCAAACCTGCAGAACGGCTTCCCAGAACAGATTTATCGGAGAAAGACCAGCACCCAGGAGCCCGAGCCCTCTGACCTGGCAGGTGCTGTCTCCATCCACCTCACTGGACCTAGTGTTCCACTGCTTTGTCCTGGACAAGTGTGCCCAGTGTTTCTGAGATCCAGGGCTCTCCTAGAAACCTTCCATCCCAGAGCACCAGGGCTCTCCTAGAAACTTTCCACCCTAGAGACCACCGAGTTCAGATCCCTGCCTCACACCCCACACAAACTGTACTGACTGAACCACGAGCTCAACTGACCATGTGTCCTGGCCACATAGGTGTTCACAGCAGAGTTGAGGAGACCAGAGGCTCAGTCTTAGCACAGCACGCAGACCTATCTCCCAGACAAATGCTCTGCACTTCAACACACCTGACAGGGGATGGTGCCCACATGGGTGCCTCTCGGCCTTGGTGAAATGAGGTGCTGACCCCTATGACCCTGTCCCGATGGGCAGGCAGAAGGGCTCTCACTCAGGCCTCTGGGCTGGAGCCAAGCCGTTTCCACCAACAAGCTTTACACCAGGATCCCGGGCTCCTACCCAGCCAGGGGTAATGCTGGGTCTCCATTTCCAGTATGCTCTCTGCCCAGGAGTGCACACCGTCCACCCTCCAGGCAGGAACATTGGCGGTCAGAATTCCTGCACTCCTAAGTGGTCTACACCATGCATTTGTATTGGAAGTGAAGTCACTTTTGATGAGCTCCTTCTGAGTCCCTCCGAAATAAACTTCCCTGAAGGGGGCCTGAGATGGGCCTTACTTCCAAACAGACTCTCAAACAGACTGACAGCAAGGGTTCCACTCATTTTCACTGCATCATTTTTAAAAAATGAAGGAAATATTTTATACTCTGGAAATGGAATCGCCTGTACATTTTTCAAGCTCATGGCTAGACTGAAAGCATTTCACTCTGCTCGCCTCACAGCCTGCCCACCACACGCCCTAATACCCATGCCCTCTGCCCTCAACTGCCCAGTTTACGTGTCTCCTGTGGCTTCTCTGAGGACAGCTCTTCATTCTGTTCTTTTATTTCTAAACTTTAAGTCTGTGGTATCTCTGTCTTCACTGGGGTTTGTACTGGTTCCCTTATAGCATCTCCCTTCCCTGTGAGCAATAAAGATACCACACAGATTAATCTTAACCGTTCTAACACTCGTCGTCATTTCATGGTCCTCATTAATCTTCTGAAAGCTGACGAACACTCAATGGAATAATGTCCTTATTTTCACCAATTTGAAGGTATTGGGGTGTTTTTAATCCTCGTGACCCCTTGGAATGGGCAAGGGGAGTCCTGCCTGGCAGAAGGATGGGCTTGGTGTGCAGCCCGAGGAGCGGGCATGTGGGCCAGTGTGCGGGGTTGGTTTCCAAGGCCTGAGGGTAGGGAGGCTGGAAGGAACACCACGACCAGAGTACACAGGGCTGACGGCACTGCTCCGCTTCAGTACAAGGGCACGTTCAATAGCTTCCATGACAAACAGTTTTAAAAAATAAAGAATGACTGGAGTGGCCTCTCCAGCAGAGCTGCCCTGCCCTCCCCCTTGTCTCTGGGGGTGGCCGATGGGTGCTTCCTTTGCAACTCCTCTTTCACAGCATTTGATTTTACTTTTTCTAGTCAGTACTACACTTTGCTAAGGACAGAGTGACAAGTTCATCAGAAGGCAAATTCCCAACGTCTCCTCTTTGCCTGGGCCTCAGATAAAGCATTGATTGTCTGAGAGCAAAATCAAAACAAGAGTAAGAAGAAAGAGGGGCTGATGCGGATAAACAAACACCAGCAATTCCAGAAGAGATAATTATTTAGAAACAAAACACTTTGCTGTTCCTGTGTTAATATAACCTGTATGTTAAAGAAGCAGAATTTTAGTAAAAAATGTACAAAAAAGAAAACTGAAACAAAAAGCACTGCTCTTTCTAGCAATTTCTCTGGTTCCTCTGGTGTTATCCCATCCCAGCACTTGGTCCTTCAATACCCTGAGAGTTGTTGGCTGACTATGAGGCCTGCTCACTCTTTCCAGAACAGCCTGGCCCAGCTCCACAGCTCCTACCTCCTCTAATGGGCTCTGCTACCAGGCAGCACCTCTGGAATACTCTGCTCTTTCTTCTCCTCCCAGGCCCAACAAAAGCTCTCTGAAAGAAAAAACCAGTCCCGCTCACTTCTAACATCCCACCAGAAAGCACTGTTCCTCACAGGCCTTGGGTGGTGGATGCTGGCTTAATGGAAGAAGATGGCCTTTAACAAATATTGTGAGTAAAATCCCTTTCCACGCTCTCCCAGGTCAGCAGATCTTCCACCGGGGCAGGACGGAGAGATGGCGGCCACCCCATGCCGACGACCCATCACCAGGGACCGGGTGGCCTGGGAGAAACGTTGTGCTTTACCCTGGTCAAAGCCGCTGCATCTGTAATAGGCCAGCGCCACTTCCTCCACAGAGCACAGGACTGTGGCAGGGGCGGTGGGCTCCCCAGCCTCCATCACAAACACAGACTTGCCCATCCCGCGCTGCGGGCACAGCCGACCCGTGATGGTCACCTGAGACAGCAGAAGGAGAACATCCATCAGTCTCCCTTGAGCTGTAGTCCCTGCAAACCTGACTTTCATGTCCAGAGCACCTTGCTCTGCTCCCCGTAAGCCACCTATTCTAGCAGAGTGCGAGACCGTGTGACCCATGCTCTGGCGACTGTGAGGGTGTGGACAGGCCCCCAGAACGGGGGAGACATGGACCCCAAAGCTGCTCTCTAGGGGCCCTGACCAAGCAGGAGACACTGGCAGAAGGCTGTGAGCTCCTGACTCAGGAGTTTTACAGAAAGTCACTCAGCCCAGGGCTCAAGCAGACCCACACCCCGGCCAGCTCAGCTTCTGATGTAGGAGGCACTGGTGTGAAAACGGAGTCCTGTCCTAAATGAGTACTGGAGTTTTCTACGTCTAAAAGAAAATGCATACGAAAAACTGTTCTTAGGCTGTTTCCTTTCAGGAGAAAACCCAGCATATCCACTTAAGTCCAAAGTGCCCAAAGGATATTTACTTACATGTTTGACATCATCCACAGTTATTTCTGGCAGGTGATGGAAGAGGTGCCTGTACTTCCGACAGCTCGTAGACTCTCTCAGGCGCAAAGCTCGCTGATACAGTGAAAGACGATGTCCCGTCCTGACTTCCGGATCGGCCAGCCCTTCTGTGATGCACCTAACAGCCTAGAGAAGAACATGGTCCCACATCAGGATCCTGAAAGAGCTCATGGCAGCGTCCGCTAATTTAATGTGACAGGAAACCCCACTGTTAATTAATTATTCAATTTTGCTAATTACTAAATGGATAAAGCAATACTTCCAGAGATAAAGGGTATTTCCTTAGATCTCATTCTGTTCCATTTCTTTCTTTTTTTAAAGTAATCTCCATGCCCAACATGGGGTTTGAATTCCCAACCCTGAGATCAAGAGTCGCCCGCTCTACCGACTGAACCAGCCAGATGCCCCATCATCCTGCCACTTTTAATGCTCAGGTCCACTCAGGAACCACAGAGCTGGCCCAGCCTCCTCATTTATGGGGAGAAGAATCTTGCGTTGGGAGAAGTTAAATGCATTTCTTAAGGTTACTCAAAGTTGGACCAAAAAACAAAAGTACTGAAAATACCGTAACATACGACTTCAGGCCTCAGAGGACGACTAGAATCAGAAACAAGGGAAATAGTAAGTGCTGACAAGGATGTGGGAGAAACCGGCGCCCACGTGCACTGCTGGCAGAAATGAAATACGACTCAACCCTGGGGAAGTCAATGTGTGGTTCCTCAAAAAGCTAAACACAGGATTACTGCATGACCCGGCAATGCCACATCTGGGGACATCCCCGAAAGCACTGAGAGCAGCGTTTTGAAAGGTATCTGTAGACCCATGTTCATAAGCGGTGTTATTCCTAACAGCCAAAAGGTGGAAGCGAGCCAAGTGTCAATGTGGAGACGACGGGGCAGACAGAACATGGTCGATCTGTACAATGGAATATCACTCAGCCCTGAAGGGGAAGGAAATTCTGATACTGCCCACAGCAGGGCCGAACGTGGAGCACGAACTGCCACGTGAAACAAGCCAGAGACAAGAAAGACCAAATACAGGAAATACCTAGAACAGGCAAAGTCCTAGAAACAGGCAGTGGACGAGCCATTACCAGGGGCTTTTGGCGGGGGGGGGGGCGGGGGGGGGCGGCGACAAGCAGCCATGACCAGCTGGCTGCAGAGCTTCTGTGTGGAGCGATGATGAAGCCCAGGAACGCACAGCGGTGGTGCCGGCACAAACCACCGTGATTGTAACCGATGCCACCAGAATGTTCTGTATTAGTTCTTCCGATAAGAGAATAAAAAGTAGAAAACAAACAAATAAAAAAAATGCTGAAAATCAACGAAAGATCAGGCCATCAGGAGTGGAAAGGTCAAGGGAACGGGAAGGGCAAAGGAGACCCGCGCTCTGTGACCACGTCCACGGGGAGGGGCCGGCCACTGGCTGAGCGCTCTGCCTACAGATTCCTCCACCGGAGACAGATGTAAAGAAAGAAAGGCGACAGTGATGAAATGATGAAGACTATGAGTGTGGCCAGGAAGATCTCTGAGAAAAGGCCAAGAGCAACGAGGATTTTCTGTCAATCTCAAAAATATCTCCATGGCTCTTCTACCTCTGTGCTCCTGTGAGCAGAACTGTGAACAAGGGGTAAATCCAAACCCTCTGGAACCTCTATTTCAATGAAAGAAGAAAGTAGGGGCGCCTGGGTGGCTCAGTGGGTAAAAGCCTCTGCCTTCGGCTCAGGTCATGATCTCAGGGTCCTGGGATTGAGCCTCACATCAGGCTCTCTGCTCAGCAGGGAACCTGCTTCCTCTTCTCTCTGCCTGCTTCTCTGCCTACTTGTGATCTCTGTCTGTCAAATGAATAAATAAAATATTTAAAAAAAAGAAAGAAAGAAGACGGAAGCAGCATAAATACAGGGTTTCTCTGCCTTTGGCTGTGGGGCCACCAGACGCCGTTTTTTGCTATTTCAGCCTGAGTCAACACGGAGGGGTAAGGAAGCACCACACCCACCTCCAAGAAAGAAAACAGCTTTCACCAGCTTGAAGCGCTTTAGGTAACAAGGCACTTTCTCAGTTTAAGGCAGTAAAAATAGTCTGTCCTATTTCCACACCCATGGTCAGCTTTTCCACCTCCACCTCACCCTGATTCACTTCATGTTGCCGCTTTAAAAAACAAAAGCTTCCAGAGCCACAGTCCCCTCCGTTCAGTGCAAACACGAGGCTGGTGGAGAGGAACCCCAGGCAGCCACACAAAGAGCCACTGTTGCCTCTGGGCTCAGCAGAAGCTGCCGTTGGGGGCCCCCCGCCCTGCTCAGCTCAGGCTGCACCCTGGACTCCCAAGAGGCCTGCTCAGCACTCATCAGACCACACCCTTCCCAGGGGAAGGAAACATCTTCCATCAGACTTTCTACCTGGAAGCCCCATGCAACAAATGAATAAAATCACCATTTCCTAAACAAAAGGACTTCCTTGAAAGCACGTGCTGAGGATGGGGACCTCTAATTCTCCTGCTCCCTTAATTCCTAAACCTCAACAGAGCCGACTACCAACCCATCTCCCGAATCAGTGTAAAGTGTCCTGTCCTCATTGTAATGCTTCTGTTAGCTTTTGGGGGGTTGGAAGAACATAGACAAAAGAAGGTTAAAAAATATGTATTCTCATGACATTTAGGTTTCTAAGGTACTAACATTAGGCTATGCATTTTCACTTAGGCAGAAGCTAAAGAAGGCTCTGGTGAAGCTAGTTACTGAATACCGGTTCAAGGCGTTTCAAGTGCTGGTGTAAGTTGAGCGCCAGTCTATCCCACCACCGGCCTCTGCTGTCAGGACAATACACTCTCTGGGACAAGAGGCTTTCAAGCTCCTTGACTGCTTCCTGTTCCAACAACAACAACAGAGAAAGCCCATTAGACTCCTACACTCCAAAAAAAGGAACTACATTTAGTAACCAATAAGGTTGGCAAAGTACACTTAGCCCATCTTCCGTCCTAAAAGGAGACCAAGGACCCTGGAATGAGAACAGGACTGAGACGTTCCCCCTGGAGCAGGCCCGCGCCCCTGAGGCATCCCTACTTTTCTCCCAGATCGCCCGCCAACCGGTGAGTGAGTGCACGGAGCTCTGTCAACACTGCAGACTGGTATTCTCTGCACAGCAAGTCCACGGGCGCGGGGCTGCACACCATCAAGTTCTGGGCAGCCGGGCACTGCTCCGGGGCTGCGAGCCCATGTGCTTCTGGGAACACAGCAGGTCACATGGCCGGCCGATGGTGTGAGGAATGGGGCGGGCAGAAAGCAGTGACCAGTGTGTTCATCTAAACACCCCTCTCAGCAGGGAGTCTTTTGGGCCTAGATTTATACACAAACTGTTCGGTTTTATGGTTCATCGATCTCTCTCAACATCTCATGACTTTTTGCAGAACGTGCAGCACAAACGCCCATATACTCGCAACTGTGGGGTTCATAGACTCTCCAAAGCCAATCCCATGGACCCTCTTGGGTTTCGTGGACCCATGTTAAGAAGCCCAAGTTCCATGCATCCTCTTTGTAAAATAGCATTTTTCCACATAGAAACCTTAACATAACAAAAGCTAACTCTACCACTCTCACAACATTTTGTATAGGGAGGGATGGGACCAAATCTCTGATTTGTGATTTTAAATTTTATTTAAATAAATTTAAATAAAGACCCTGCCAGCTGTCAGGGAAACATGAGCAGAGGTGAGGTTTCCACCTCGGAGATTTTGGGAGCCCTCCCAAGTCACACGTGGAGTCCTGACAGAGACTCACTCAGGCTGGGGCTCCCCACACGGCTCCGTCCAGGACCGCCAGGCCCTTCTGGTGCATGCACAGCCACTCACATGCAGAAGAGATGGCTGGTTCTCTTTGGCCATCTCCCCACTAACCCTGGAGACAGCAGGATGCCCACATCAAGCATGCTTTCGTGACATTTTGTGACATTCCTGTATGCTGAGCAAGTGGAAAATGCTGTCAGGCGGGCTCTCCTGGATAGCTTACCACTGACCTACCAGCAAGCCAGGGGTCGGGGCTTGTGCTCTAACCTCATACATGTGAAGTCGCTGCAATATTTCAACAGTCCGAGACAAAATCCTTGTATAAATCCACCCAACGGTAAAACAGCGCAGAAACACTGGTAAGTTCTCGTGGTATCTAAAATGGAGACGGACACCAGCAGTTTAGCAATCTGATTTATTTGTGACAAAACAATTATAAAAAGCAACAAAGCAGACCGAATTCTTAGCTTTTAAAAAGATACATTCCAAATACTGTCAGTTGTACACAATTTTCTGCACCACAAACCTGCATTCTTCTAGCCAGCCACCATTTCCTAGGACACTCCTTGGGATGAAATAAGAACCACTGAAATTTCCAAGCCAAGGGTCAGCAAACCCAGGCCAAATCCTGGGCCCGCCAGCTGATTTTCTATGTCCTGCAGACTAAGCATGGTTTTCCCATTTGGCAATGGTTAAAATAAATGAAAAGGAGAATAGTCTGTGGCATGTGAAAATTATGCACAACTCACATTTCAGTCCATAAATAGTGCTGGCATCTTGTACCGCCTGTTCGGTCACATTCCTCCTGGGGCTGCTTCTGCTGGGGGCAGCAGAGGTCAGCAGCTGCCACAGAAGCCAGCCAGCCTTTTACGAAAGTCGTCTACCAACCTCTGGTCTACAGTCATCTAACTTCCTGGCTATGATTTTCTTTTTTTTTTTTTTTTTTTTTTATGAAGAAAATCACCTACTAACTTGTTTTGACCATTTGTCTTGCTGCTTGGTGTGAGAAAGGTTAATAAATTACCTAACTTGTCATAAGAAGATCTTCCAGTGTCCACGGGTATCACAGGAGTAGCGACTCTACATTGGTTATCTCATTTCTAGAAAGGCCTTTAAGGGAATGGCTTAATTTTCAGTCTGAATTATAGAATACTTCTATAGGAAATATAGTCAAATGCAGTTTGTTTTTTTTTCCTAACTTTAAAGGCTACTTTCTTGGCGATGATTTTTAAGTCATTATCATTTCTGTATGAACTTTATATCCTAAAGTTTTTTTTTAAAAGAGCTATTGAATAACACAAATTTTTCTCACCCCTATGTAAAAATAAAGGAACAAAATCTCTTAACAAATACAGAGTATGTTTAACATTGATTAAGAAAAAAAAATCATGTGTTATGTACTTGAACTTTTAAAGAAAATGTTAATTTAGTTTTCTTTTTCAGATTAACACCTACTTGAATTTCCATTGGAAGAACACATCTACCATGGCTCTTACCACCTCTGTCCTGCTTCTGGCTTTCCCGAACATTTAAATTCAGCTGACCAATGCTCAGAGAAGCGAACATACCAAAAGATGGTGAGTTAAGGGAATAGGAGATGCATAAAAAGGGTGAAAGGAATTAAAAAGTACAGACTTTCAGTTACAAAATACGTAAGCCATGGGGATATAATGTACAGCATGAGGGCTACAGTTAATAATACTGTATTGCATAACTGAAATTTACTGAGAGTAGAAAAAAATTTTCTAAATATGGTGATGGATGTTAACTAGACTGTGATGATCATTCTGCAAGACAGAAATATCAAATCATCGTGCTGTATACCTGAAACTGATACAATGTTATGTCAATTACATCTCAATTAAAAAAAGAAAAAAAGAAGGCAAGTGGAAAGCCATTTGTTTACTCCCATGCCTGTTGTATAGCGATCCGAGTTATAGAAAATTCACTTCAGACCTATAGACATTTCCTCCTTTGTCACACAACACTGACTATGCAAATCAAGTGGGGAATTCAACTGTGCAGCTGATGTGATCCCAGAACAAAAGGACAAAGGGCTTCATGAAGAGAATTATCTCAAGTGGTCAGAACAACTTGGTCAGAGAAGTAAATTTTGACAGGTACCTGGAAAAGATCTCACCTCAAAGAAGGGTGGCTTTTCAGTTTGTTCCAATCACGTTTTGCGCATTGAGAGAGCTCGTGAGCTTCCTTCCAGTTCCCGTTGGCCATCGCGGTAGAAATGTCATTCAGCATGTGCGCAGCGGCTGCATATCTGGGGAAAAACCCCACAGCATCCAAGTTCAAATGTGAATGAACATTTACATAACACACACCACATCCTATCCCCGAGATCTAACCCTGAAGGGCAAAAGTCTGTTTTTTGAAAATACGAAGGGTATTTAAATCTGATTCTAGTAAAAACACGGTACGACTGCCCTGAAGTAGCCTGAAACAATGAACACAGGCTAGCCAGCTGGAAAGATAAAAACATTCACATATTGTTACATAGCACGTTCCGTTATATAAATGTAGTATTGATCAGCTCATCAGTTCTGATTCTTGGTACTCATTCGTTCATTCAAAAATCTGGCAGCAACCCCAGAAATACATAACCGACTTTGAAATCACATTAGGGCGCAGATCTGGTAACAGTTATTTGGTCAGAGGTAGCCCGGCAAAGGCTGCCCAACAAGACACTCTTTGGGAGACAGCAATGCTGAAAAGTTATAAAACCACTTAGCTGAACAAAGACAACTTCTTGCCTCTTTAGGTACCAAAAACAAAGACATTTGCCCAAGTGATACTTTGAGTGCAAGGTCATTGTATTTTGGACTCACACCTAAAAGAAAAGCACAAAATATTACTATGGGCAAATGTGTTCAAATAAGAAGAAAAGAAATTGCCTCTCGATGTAAAAATTTGCTCACCAACTCTTGGATCTAATTCTCTCATAAAATGCTACTGGATAATTCTAAGGTTGATAAGAAAAGGGAATGCAACAGGGAGAATTGTCCAGAAGCCGGCCCGGCCCCGTAGGACCTCCTCCATGGTCAGGAGCCTCAGAAGCAGCCCCCACACTCCCAGCCCTATGGCCTGAACAAGCCCCACCTTCGAGGGGCCACTGAGACCAACCCCATCATGCCTCATCTCCGGATCCACCTCCAGTGCCACTGGAAAGGGTTACTGGCTCTCATCTCATCCATACCTCCCAGTACTGCTGGGAACTTCCCCTTCATCAGCCCCTCTCCCATTTCCTCAGCCCCTTCCCCTCCATCCACTGTGTCTCCTGCCTCCTCTAAACCCCAGCTAAGAACACGGCCTCCCCCTCCATGCTGCACCCCCAGCCCCCTCACATGGGGGATAGCTCTTCTCACAACCCTCCCACCCAGAGACAGATGGAGGAGACTCCCTTTCTTTCCAGCTGCTTCCAAATCTTACTGTCCCCTCCTTGAAAGCCCTCTATTCCTTGGAAGCCTGTGCTCCCTCCTTGTGGGCACTAGCCCACCTCCGGTCTTGTCTTGCTCTGCCTCGTGTCTCCAGCCACAATGGCCTGAGACTTCAACGTCTGTGATGCTGAAGGGCACGCCCAGTCTCGAGACCTCCAGCCAATAACCCTTTCTCCGACTCCCTTCTGCTACCCACATGCCCACGGCCACTCAGAACCGCTGTCTCTGATGCACTGCATCACCCTCAAAACCTTCATTTTGGGCATTTCATTCACTGACCTCCACCTCCAATCCTTCCGGCTCACTTAGTGATGGAAACAGTTCTCCAACTTCACCGAGACCCACCATGACCCTTTTCTCCAGCTACAGAGCCTCCTTTCCTGCAGGCTTCCACCTCTTCCCCGCAGAGTCAACTAGCCCACTATTCACTGGTGAATCCGCACTGGACATCGGGCCCACCCTCGTCACGGTGTCCATGGTGACCACCCCCTCTAAGCCTGGACCCAGCTCCCTGAACTGTGCTGAGCCAGGCTGGTAGGCTTCACTGTAATCGAAGACCACGCCTCAGGCCAGCCCTGCGTCCCCGGGGAGCCTGCCCACCTGCCCACCCTGTAGGACTGCTGTGTCTTACCTTTGCCTTCCCAACTGCACTCCCCATGCAAGCTTCCCCATCAGACCTCTCCCGCAGGGACAGAGGCCGTGGTTGGGGAACCTCCCAGCTTCCCATCACAGCCACCTCACCCCTGCCCCCACTCTACCCTCCCTCAGTGCTCCGAACCCCAGGCCCGCCCGTCTCAAGGCCTTCCCTTCCTGTCTGTCCCCTCTTCCCTTCCAGTCAGCCTGTCTTTTCCACCGGTGGTCAGGGCCCGAGTACACAAACACCCTCCCACTGTGCCCTCAAAACAGCAGAACAATACTGCTTGCCCTCACACTCCACTGCAGCAGCAGCTGCTTCAAAGCCAACCTCTGACTCCCCTTCTTCCCAGAATGGCTCCTGTCCTCACCATCATCCTCTGCAAATTTCTCTGAAGCGGCTCTTGACACAGGCCACCAGCTGCGCACATCTCGCTAAATCCAACGGCTCTACTTCCAGGCCCACAACTACTCAGCCTCCGAGTGACTGCAGAAATGCGACCTCCCCTGCCCCAAGCCACTCTTCTCTAGACTTCCACGTCACACATGCTCCTGATCCCTCCCACCCCGACTTTCCTCGCTGCTCCTACTCTCTCCCTGACCTCTGAATGCTGGCTGCCACAGCTCGGTCCTCTGCATCCCCGCTCAGGGGTCTCTCCAGTTCCAGGGCCTCCAACACCATCCATGTGCTGGTGACTCCAAATATTCTCTCCAGGCTGGAGCTCCTCCCTGAGCACCTGCCAGCACGTCCGGTGCCTCACCTGAATGGCTAGTGGGCATCCCAAACAGCGATCCCCACCCAGCACTGCCGTCCCTCCCGCCAACCCTCCCTGATCCCCAGGCTCATGGATGGTACCCCCAGCCCAGTCAGAACACACAGAGCCTTCCATGACTCATGCCTGTCCTTCTCCCACAGTATCTAGTTATAATCATAATAATCAAAATCATAATCAAGGCTTGTCTCTCCTCCTTCCATTCACCTCATTGCCACTGCCACCGGCCCAGTCAAGACCAGCAAGGTTAAGCCGGCCTTCTCATGGCTTCCCTTGCTTCCTTTCACCTCCTATTCCACAGGATGCTTTTGGAAAATGTGAAACAGATCACTGGCCTGCCTAAACCTCTTCCACGGCTGCCCACTGCTCAGAGAACACTACTGAGTCTGTTCAGGGAGCTTCTGAGGCTGAGCGTCCCTGGCCCTGCCTTCCTGTCAGACTACTGCCCTGGGGCTGTGGTCACAGAGGTCTTCTCCACCTGAGTTTCTCCACCTCAGCAAGCTCACTCCTACCTCAGAAGCCTCCTGAGGCTCCTGCCTCATGCATGCTCCCTGCGTGACCTAAATGCACACCCCCTCCCCTCAATCCTGAGGCTCAATCGGAACGTCACCTCTCCAGGGACACTCTCTCTAAAATGTGGAACCTGCCCAGTCTGCCCCTCAATCATCACAGTACTTTTCACATGCTATGATTCTTCTTATTTTCTGTCTCCCCCAAGAAAACAGAACCCCATGGTGGCAAAGACTCTCTCTGTTCTTGCTGGAACCCCACCACCTAGGCCCATAATAGGTACTCAATACTCAAGTATATTGATAAATGAGGAAAAAGGAAAGACAGGATAAATTATTTCAAGTACCATTGTGACCAATAAGAGTTCTCAGACCAGGTGTCATGTGACCAGGTATTATATAATTACCATTCCTGAAGTCAGTTAAACCCAATTTCATTTATATATTAAGGCCCTTTGTACAATAAAAGAAGTTTCAGTTATTATTTATAGGATACCTACTTTCTCAAAGGAATCTGACATGGTTTCTTTTTTCTCCCAGCTCTCCCACTTTTAAACCTGTCAACCACAGTTTTCTCAATCACAGAACTGAAAAGTAATCTCTCTTAGATATGCCAGTAATAAGGACAATTACAATGCTAACTAAGACGTACTAAGCCATCCCCAAGGGCCAGGCTCTAAGCACTTTACATGTATTAACAGAGATCTGGAGGAATATACTATTATTCTCCCTATTCACAGATAAGGAAACTGAGGCACAGGGTGGTTTCACAGTTCATTAGTACAGAGAGATTGGAATTTGCCTTCAGTGTACACAGTCTCTCAAAAGAGAACAGCATAAACTCACTAAAAATGAAAAGGTAAAAAGATACGAGACAACTCAAAATAGATTAAGGACATATTCTTATTAGAAGAATTTTTTCCAATCAGACACAAATAAGACAGTGAGCTTCCTGAGAGCTAAGAAAACTGGGCTAGAGTCAGTTTATATCAACGCTTCTTTGATTCAATAATTTCAATATTATTTTTAAAGCACACATTAGACAAACATAAACGATTCTCCTAAAATCACATATCAGAATCAATTTCAGTTGCTTCTGAGTCATAAACTTTAAGTCAAGAATCAAAAGTGCCATTTTAGGAATCTGAATTTATCTTTCTTTCTTTTTTTTTTAATTTTTTAAAAATATTTTATTTATTTGACAGAGAGAGATCACAAGTAGAGCGAGAGAGAGAGAGGAGGAAGCAGGCTCCCTGCCTAGCAGAGAGCCCGATGTGGGACTCGATCCCAGGACCCTGAGATCATGACCTGAGCTGAAGGCAGAGGCTTCACCCACTGAGCCACCCAGGCAGCCCCTGAATTTATCTTTCTTATAAATGACAAGTTTTTAAAGGAAATCCAAGTATTTTTTTTTTCTCTGAGACCTATACCATTCTTTACCTAGACCTACTTTTGACAGTCAGATCAAACATTCACTGAGTGCACATACCAAAACAGCTCAGTGACAGTCTCTAACCTAGCATGTGCCTGATTCGAGGATATGCACACAAATTAGGATTAGCTTTAGCTGAAGCACTACTGCTAGGAAAACACTCACCTTCAGCTTTGTTCATGCCAACAACATACTCACAAGGCAGGTTTTGTTCAAACGTCTGTATTTACAACACATTTCCTGCCAAAGCTACTTGGGAAAATGAGTCAGGGAAAATTTTTATAGTTCTAACTCAAAACTCATTGGTTTTGGCAACCTTAATCTAAGCACATTTCTACATTCTCCTTAGAGTCTCAGAAATGTATACAAGTCAGGCAGAAAGACAACAAAAACACAAAAAACTTCAAAAACTGCTTTGGCTATGGACTTAGGTTTCTACTGTAAAAGGCAAACAATAATAATGAAACCTTTTACATACATGTAAAGTGACACATTTATTACTCTGAGCTAATATGATCTTACCTGATAAGATCGTCTCTGTCTAGGAAGATTTGGGTTTTCCGATTAATGGTGTACCTGGGAAACTCCATTCGGCCAAGATTGACCAAGAGCACAGTAGAAAGCTGTCCCTGACCTCCACAGGCAGCATCCTCATCTTCCAGTGAGTCCGTCAATGAAAACAGCAGCAAGACCCGGGAGAAAACAGCTCGAGGACCTCTACAGACTCGCAGTGACTGTCCCGCCAAGCCTTTAGCTCTGAAACATGTACAATACAGAAATAACTTTCTGGTTTTTTAAAAAGCATTTGGATGTTAGAGTTTACAAATTACTTTCAGAAAAAATAAAGATAAGTGGCCTTCATTATTCTAAGCCTAAAGTTAATCTACCACTTCCAGCTGTGCAACCCTGGAGCCTAACTTAGCCTCTTTGGGGCTCAGAGCCCAACTAGGAATATGGTGAAGGGTATGTGAAATTCCATCTCCAAATGGTTGCACACATAGTTTGGCGCAACAAAATAGCAACATAGGGTTTACATGGGTCGTGAATGTGTAAAATACCAGGAAAATTCATAAAAGTATTATCTATTCAACATTAGCCATTCTCACCTCTTGACAAGTGACATTCAGATTAAATAATAGTTACTTATTTAAAACATCATTATTTGGGTGCCTGGCTGGCTCAGTTGGAAGAGCATGTAACTCTTGATCTTGGGGTTGTTGAGTTTGAGCCCCATGTTGGACACAGATTATTCAGTAACAGAGATTACTGAATAAAAATTTTTTTGAAAAAGTGAAATAAAATGCCATAAGCTGGTGGTTAGGTAGCATTATTTTGTGCACCAAGAAGTAGTACCAAGATTTGGTGCTGTTCTGTGATTTGCAAAGTGGTCCAGAAATATATCCACTCCAGGGTAACCTGAGAGGAAATTCAGTTTGATTCTGGATGCCTTCGAGGTAGACCTGGAGGTCTAAAATAAATTCAGGGCCACTTGGGCCCTCTGGCTCTTACAACTTGGATACCATCTAGAACAGAGTTTCTCAAATTTGGCACCACTGACATCTGGGCAGGATAATTTTTTTTTTTTTTTTTTTAAAGATTTTACTTATTTACTTGACAGAGAGACAGAGATCACAAGTAGGCAGAGAGGCAGGCAGAGAGAGGAAGGGAAGCAGGCTCGCTGCCAAGCAGAGAGCCCGACTTGGGGCTCGATCCCAGGACCCTGAGATCATGACCTGAGCCGAAGGCAGAGGCCTAACCCATTGAGCCACCCAGGTGCCCCAGGGCAGGATAATTCTTTGTGGGGAGGAGGGTGCTGTCCTGGGCATTACAGGACGCTCAGCAGCATCACTGGTCTCTACTCACTAAAGCCAGCAGTACCCACTTCCCTCTTCATCAGGACAATCAAAGATGCCTCTAGACATTACCAGATGTTCCCTGGAGGGCAAAGTAGCCCCCAGTTGAGAACCACTGGCCTGGTGGAAGACCTCACTTTTCCCATCTATCCCAGCAGCTATTAACCCAAAAGCAGTGCTGCATCTCTAGGAGTGTTGCAGAAATCACTGCTGCTATCAGGTACATGAGGGGACAGAAATGAGATTCCTATCACACCACTATTGAATTGAGAACCATTCATCTATACTGATATAAAGTGCCCACTTCTTCCACCTCCAGGTCTCTGAGTTCAGAAGGAACCATTAAACATGGTAAAATGAACAATGATTATCTACTGGGATTAAGAACGTATAAATAATGTGCCTTTTTTTGGTTTCTTCGTGATAACAACAGAGTACGATAACAAGGCACTGCCCTCCTGTGGGGGCTGTCAGAGACTCAGGTTCCACTGCTGGGCTCTACAACAAAATGCAGAAATAAAGTACAGTCCTGAAGGACAGAGATTTTAGTACAACTAAAATAGGCTTGATAATGTTATGTTTCTAACAAGCCCAAAGTCAGGGATAAAAAAAACAGTTAACCTTATTTCTTTTATTTCTGTTCATATGCTTAGTGTTTATGCTGAGAGAGGGCTGCTAATTTTAATGTTCATTTACTTATAAAATGTTATATAAGGATAACATAAAATACTTAAATACAATTACAGAAAGGACTTAGAATGCAGGATACAAAATCAACGTACAGAAATCTGTTGCATTTCTACACACCAATAATGAAGCAACAGAAAGATAAATTAAGAAAATAATCTCATTTGCAATTACACCAGAAATAATAAGGTATCTAGGAATAAACCTAACCAAAGAGGTGAAAGACCTGTCCTCTGAAAACTATAAAACACTGGTAAAAGAAAGTGAAGATGACACGAAGAAATGGAAAGGCTCCATGCTCATGGAATGGAAGAAAAAATACTGTTAAAATGTCTATGCTATCCAAAGCAATCTGCACATTTAATGCAATCCCTGTCAAAATACTAATGGCACTTTCATAGAATTAGAACAAACAAGGCTAAAATTTGTGTGGAACCATAGAAGACCCCAAATAGCCAAGGCGATCTTCAAAAAGAAAAGCAAAGCTGAAGGAATCACAATTCCAGACTTGAAGGTATATGACGAGGTTGTGGTAATCAGTTATCTCTATAGCCAACAGAAGGCTCGAACGCACAATCCCAAGATCAAGAATCCCATGCTCTACCGACTGAGCCAGCCAGGCACACGCAGAGCGGCAGTCATCAAACTGTATGGTGCTGGCACAAAAACAGACACATAGATCCATGGGACAGAACAGAAAACCCAGAAATGAATCCACAATTATATGGTCAAGTAATCCTCAATAAAGCAAGAAAGAATATGGGACACCTGGGTGGCTCAGTCAGTTAAGCATCTACCGTCAGCTCAGGTCATGATCCTAGGGTCCTGGGATCAAGTCCCATATCGGGTTCCTTGCTCAGCAGGGAGCTGGCTTCTTCCTCTGCCTGCCACTCCCCCTGCTTGTGCATGCTCTCTCTCTCTCTAACAAATAAATAAATAAAATCTTAAAAAAAAAAAGGCAGGCAAGAATATCCAATGAGAAAGAATGACAACGGCAGCATCTTCAACAAATGATGTTGGGAAAACTGGACAGGAACATGCAGAAGAAGGAAACTGGATCACTTCCTTATACCACACACAAAAATAAGTTCAAAATGGATTAAAGACCTAAATATGAGTCCAGAAACCAAAAAAATCCCAGAGGAGAACATAGGCAGTAACCTCTTTGACATCGACTATAGAGACTTCTTTCTAGATATGTCTCCAGAGGCAGGGAAACAAAACCAAAAATAAACTATTGGGACTTCATCAAGATAAAAAGCTTCTGCATAGAGAAGGAAATAACAAAACTAAAAGACAGCCTATGGGATGGGAGAAGATATTTGCAAATAACATATCCAATAAAGGATTAGTATCCAAAATATATAAAGAACTTACAGAGCTCAACACCCAAAAAACAAATAATCCAATTTTAAAAAATGGGCAAGAAGACATGAACAGAAATTTTTCCAAGGAAGACATCCAGATGGCCAAGAAACATAAAAAAAGATGCTCATCATCACTCATCATCAGAGAAATGCAAATCAAAACTACAGTGAGATAGTACCTCGTACCTGTCAGAATAGCTAAAATCAACAACACAAGAAACAACAGGTATTGGTGAGGATATGGAGAAACAGGCACCCTCTTGCAGTGTTAATGGGAATGCAAAGTGGTGCAGCCACTCTGGAAAACAGTATGGAAGTTCCTGAAAAAGTTAAAAATAGAACTACCTTATAATCCAGCAATTGCACTACTGGGTATTTACCCAAAGAATACAAAAATACTAATTCAAAGGGATACATGCACCCTGATGTGTACAGCAGCATTATTCACAGTAGCCAACTTACGGAAGCAGCCCAAGTGTCCATTAACTGATGAATGGATAAAGATGTGGGTGTGTGTGTGTGTGTGTGTGTGTGTGTGTAATAGAATATTATTCAGCCACAAAAAAAAAAAAAAAAAAGAAAAGAAATCTTGCCATTTGCAATGACATGGGTGGAGCCAGAGAATATTAAGTGAAATAAGTCAGAGAAAGACAAATTCCATATGATTTCACTCATATGTGGCATTTAAGAAACAAAACAAACAAGTAAAGGGAAAAAAGAGAGAGAGAGAGAAATCAGGAAACAGACTTAATTACAGAGAACAAACTGGTGGTTATGCAAGGGGAGGGGAGCATGGAGATGGGTTAAATAGGTGATGGGGATTAAGGAGGACAGTGGTCATCATGAGCACTGGGTGTTGTACCCAAGTGCTGAATCACTATATTGTACACCTTAAGCTAATATAACACTGTACATTAACTGACTGGAATTAAAATAAAATTTAAAATAAAAAAATTTAAAAAGAAAAGACTTAGGAGACATTTAACATACCAGAAAGATGAGGATTTTATAATCCTAAAGTCAACTAGCTATAAATAGATAATTAAAACATTTTTTAAAATCTATGGTATAAACTTTTTGAAGTGTTAGTAGTGACAATTTTCTTAATAATGCATGACTCATTTTACTCATGTTTTATAAAGTATTAGTATTTGTAGTATCTTCCCAACAAAGATGGGCTCCTGGCACACAACAGCTCAAGTCACTTGAGCACATGCACATGTATGAAGGTGTGTACATTCAGATACACACACAATATATTAGACAAAATAAATAACACTGACATTGTTTTAAAGTGTTTTCAACAGCATCACTCACTTCATCCTTAACAACTCCAGAACAGTGGATTCCCAGACTAAGATTAATATAGTTGTTTTTTATAGATAATGTGAGTAGAAGAAATAAATTCTCGAATTTACATCTTTCCCAAACTGAAACAGTTCAAGGTCTTCACAAAAGCAAAAGAAACAGGGGCGCCTGGGTGGCTCAGTGGGTTAAGCCTCTGCCTTGGGCTCAGGTCATGATCTCAGGGTCCTGGGATCAAGTTCCACCTCGGGCTCTCAGCTCAGCAGGGAGCCTGCTTCTCTCCCTCTCTCTGCCTGCCTCATGCCTACTTGTGATCTCTCTCTCTCTCTCTGTCAAATAAATAAATACAATCTTAAAAAAAAAAAAAGCAAAAGAAACAAACCACAGTTTCTGGTAAATTTTATGTCCTAAACTCAAGAAATGTTGCATTTTGGGGGCCTGGGTGGCTCAGTGAGTTAAAGCCTCTGCCTTCAGCTCAGGTCATGATCTCAGCGTCCTAGGATCGAGGCCTGAATCGGGCTCTCTCCTCGGCAGGGAGCCTGCTTCCCCCCCCCCCCTCGCCTGCCTCTCTGCCTACTTGTGATCTCTCTCTGTCAAAAAAAAAAAAAAGAAAAGAAAAAAAAAGTTGCATATTAAGACTGACAGATTACACTTGAATAAAAAGTTGACTAAAGGAAGTATTTGACCTAATATATTACCCTTAAATCCTGTAGAAACAGTCCTTGTAACTACATTTTTCTTGAATAATAAAATATGAGAATTTACCAAATGCTTACTGCCTCCTTATTTTTCTTATTCCTAGAATAGTATTACAAGAATTATTAATAATAAACCAAGGAAGAATCCAGACTATTGTTATACGGTCCTTCTGCCTTCTCAATCTAAACACAAATATAATCCAAAAAAAGTACCATTTGTTACCATGAGTTACTCTGTGCTATCAACATTTTAAATGTTTTTTACTGTAACAATATCCAACAGAACCTTTTTAAAATCACCGCACCAACTCCAGGCTGATTCTTGCCCCAAGTGCAGACTGAAGGCTGTTTGGCCAGTTTGAGAAAGGTGTCCACCAGCTGCTGCTTCTGTCCGTTGGGATGCACCAAGTGGAAGGTCTTCGCCAGGGTTTTTAGTTCAGGAGCAGAAAGCAGTTCAAGCACTTCAGAGAGTTCTTGCAACTCAGACTCTGAAATGGATTTAAAAAAAAAAAAAAAAAAAAGGTTAAACGTAGTTTTAAAGATTTTTACTATTTTCTAGCTCTATTTACTACTTTAAGAAGAATGAAGCTTAGTTAGATGCAAATATAATGAAATTCTAATGCAGAAATTATAATTAGCAGGGGCACTGGTTGGCTCCATTGGTTAAGCTGTCCCACTCTTGGTTTCACCTCTGGTCACGATCCCAGGTTTGTGAGACTGAGCCCCGCATCAGGCTCTGCACTGGGCATAGAGCCTGCTTAAGATTCTTTCTCCCCCTCTCCCTCGGCCCCACCCCCTTTCCTCTCTTAAAAAGAAATTGTAGTTTGACAAACCAATTATTACAGAACATGGAAAATGGTAGGTATCTCATAAAAGTTTATAGAACAGAATTTCTCACCAAGAACTAAAGGAAACTGAATAAAATAAAGACACATATGGATAGCTACTATGGCTTGGACATCCTCTTAAAAAATTCACTGGTGTATTCGCTCTCTGATTACAAGGCCTCCAACCAGACCTCTCCCAAAGAGGTCATCAGCTCTCCTCCCCTCCCCACAGGCTCTGGCAGGACACCCCTTCATGGGTTCAGTCACTCAACACACATAGACATGTCTGCTATTATGGGAGCCAGACACCATGCTAGGCCTGGGATTCAGCTGAGTCATACCTGGCTGGTCTGCCTTCAAGGTGTTTACAGCTTAGGGCAGTGTCTTTTTCCTCCATTTAGTAACTACTTATGGGGTGCACAATGCATGCTGAGGAATGTTCGATGGCCCTGGGCACACTACAATGAACAAACCACAACCTCCTGGCCCACAAGGAGCTCACCTTGTATATATATAAGCAAGTATATATACATATATATATATATATATATATATATATATATATATATATATAAAATATAAATATATATTCTTATATACTTATATATAAGCAAGTATATATGTCATGCCGGTAACAACTAGAAAGAGAAACAAAACTGACCAAGGCAAAGCAAACATGGTGGGAGGGCTGGCTGTATACACGGGGCAGTCAGGCAAATCTCCGAAGAGGTGACACAGAGCAGAGCTAGATGAAATGAGGGAGGGAGCGAGGGAGCGTGTGGTAGCAAGCACAAGGCTCTGTGAGAGGAGCGCACCGAGCACAATGAAGAACACAGAGGACTCCGTGGCCATGGCGGAGTGAGCAGGAAGGACAGCAGAGCCGGGGCCCAGGGGCCGTACAGATCGAGGGCAGGACTTGGACTTGACTTGCAACAGTGAGCCACTGGGGTTCTGGTTTTGTTGCTTAAAGGTCATTTAAAGGTAAGTCAAGGCTCACCTGGCAAGCCTGCCAAACTTGTGAATTTACGAATCTGCACCAAATCCTCGCAGTCAGCTGAGGACAAAAGCTCCCAGGTGGCCCTTAGGGCACTGACGTGTGGGAAACAGTGCTCCAAGCGGGGCCCGTGTCCCGCTGCCCAGTCCCTCACATTCAAGCCTCTTCACCGCACCTCTCTGCCTTTGCCCCAGCCCTACCCTCTCCTTACCAACTGCTCTCCGCGACAAACTTCCACACTGAAACCACCGGGCTTTCGCCTGATTGGCTTGTTTCAGTCTAAACTGTCAGCAATTACCCAAGACTCCCCTTCTCCCTCCGCCCACGCTTCTGATACGACCCTGCCATCAGTACGGGTAGGTGCTTAAGGAATGCCACTGACAAGACGGGCAAGGCTATCAGTCTAACAGTCTCCTCGGCTCAAATCAACGAACTTCTGAGGCAGCCAACTCCAAAACTGTAAGAGCTGTATGTGTGTAGGAGTGGGTGGATGGAGATTCCAGAAGCAATATTAACTGCAAGCAAGCCAGCTTTATTCTCTCACAAAGATGAGCCATCTGAGTCAGATTCCTGCTGGAAGGTGAGAGCTGAGGAAGGATGAGTTTCTTTGGTGGTCCATGGCCACGTGGCTCTCCAGAGGGGACTTTACCGTCCTGAACATGAGACAGTCAAGAAAACAATAGTAGTCTTCACCCAGGCTAAGAATGGCTTTAACATGAATAATTTGTTGTCCTCAGGTTAAAAACTCAAATTTAAAAACAAAACAAAACAAAAACAATTACTATTTACCAGGCACCAAGCCGGAGAGGACACCATACTGGTATGACCATCGTTCTGCAGAACTCAGCTCTTCATGTCTTATTTTCATTTTACATTTTCTTTGACCAACCGTACCTGTCTGCAGAAAGCCTGCTTGCCGCAATTCTCCAATCACAGGTGTTAGGTCAGAGGCAATCTCTTCATATTCTAATTTATTCATCTTAATCCAGCTGAATTTACGTTGAAAAAGTCTTACATATAACTTCTGAGCACTATCTGCAATAGAGTTAAGAAAAATGGTGAAAAATATTAGGGCTCTTCTCAAAACAACCACATGTTTTAAAATTGAGTGTAAAGTAAAGCGTATTCTATTAAAAATACACTTATGCTGAGGCACCTGGGTGGCTCAGTCCGTTAAGCATCTGACTCTTGGTTTCCACTCAGGTCATGATTTCATGGATCATGAGATCAAGCCCTGCATCAGGCTCCCTGGGTAGTCTGCTTGAGAGTCTCCCCTTGTGCCTCCCCTCACCTTACATGCATGCTCGTGCTCTCTATATGTAATAAATAAAACACATCTTAAAAAGATACATACAGGGGCGCCTGGGTGGCTCAGTGGGTTAAAGCCTCTGCCTTCGGCTCAGGCCATGATCCCAGGGTCCTGGGATCGAGCCCCACATTGGGCTGTCTGCTCCGCAGGGAGCCTGTTTCCTCTTCTCTCTCTCTACCTGCCTCTCTGCCTACTTGTGATCTCTGTCTGTCAAATAAATAGATGAAATCTTTAAAAAAAAAAAAATACATACACTTTATGCTTACTCAACTGATCTTCCAAGAAAACATCTCTCTTCATTTGGAAAATAAAATTTACTTTAAATAGAAGTCCTCATGGAGACATCTCCCTGTCTTGTGCACCTGTCAGCACAGGACAGGAAGAGCATCCAGGGTAGGAAGCCTTGGGCCAGCTCTGCCACTTCTGAATTATACGAGTCTATGAACTTCACTAAGACTCCATTTTCTCTTCTGTTAGAAAAAGGGGGGGGGGGACTGGGGCAGTAACACCACCTTCCTTTCAAAGTTGGTGAAAAGATTTAAAAAAAAAAAAAAAGATGAGATAGGGGTGCCTGGGTGGCTCAATGAGTTAAGTTAAGCCTCTGTTTTCGGCTCAGGTCATGATCTCAGGGTCCTGGGACTGAGCTCTGTGTCCTGCTCAGCAGGGAGCCTGCTTCTTCCTCTCTCTCTGCCTGCCTCTCTGCCTACTTGTGATCTCTCTTTGTCAAATAAACAAACAAAATCTTAAAAAAAAAAAAAAAAAAAAAGATGAGGTATTCAATGATTGGTGGATCAACCACTAAAAAGTTCCAATAGTGATAATGATTATTGGCCATTTCAAAACTTCAAACAACCAGGTTTCCCTATTTCCCACCACCACCATTTTTCCTCCCTCAGAGAAGCCCTACCCAAAACTCCAGTTATTTTGTTCTGTGCTTTCAGTTCACTATGCATGATTCTATTGTTGGCTGAAAATAATCTGAAAAGATTTTCAAAATATGCATAGCTTTGGTAAGGCAGCCATCCCTAACTCAGTGATCTTGGTAAAGTTATTTAATTAACCTGGTCAGTTTTCCTGTTACCGGAATTATCTTTAAATTTCTGCCAATTCTAAAATGGTTTAACTATACTTCTTAAATCTTCAACTTTTCCCCCCCTTTTTTCTTTAAAGAGGCAAACTCTTATTACCAGTACTTATTTTCACACAGAGACATTGCAAATGGTATCTGTAGGGAGCCATACACAAGAATCTACAAAACTTGCACTAGGGAAACTATTCGTACTTCTCCGTCACACAGAAGCACAGAGCCATGGACCACTTGAACATTCACATGAATGCCACCAGCACCCACCACATTGACAGAAGAGTCAATGTGGTTATCATTTACGTCCATGTTCTGGTGAGGACCGCACAAGCAGAGATGGAGGGCTATGTAGATAATTTATGCAACACTGCCCAGATAAGTATCACTCACACATTAAAAAGTAATACAAAGTCTGTAATTCCATTGTGTTTACTTAAAACAAAATTCCTTCTCTTGAACCTTACTGGTAATGTTTAAGGTATTTTTTTTAAACTCAACTGGAGTCAGATCTGACTACAAATTATGAGAGATCAGTGTAGCCCCCAAATAAGCTTTTCCTACCTCAAAGGGGACTCAGTTCCATAAAGCCATCATGGCCCTTTGCATTAACAGTACAAGGGTGGCTTTTGCTTCAAATCTGCACTACCGGCTTGGAGCCACCACTGGCTGCCAAGGAACTGAGGCATAGACCAGTATTTTTAAATGCACCAAATTAGCCTGAAAGTTTCCAATTCCTCCTCACCCTGACCTTAAAAGGCAGAGCCCAGAAACCTAGCATATTATCAGAGGAAAAAAATATGCCTCGGTGTGTTCTTTCCTGTATTTTATTTCATTTTTGAGAAAATGGTTAAGTGAAAACAACAGAACAACCTCAGTTAATCTTGATTACATGCTCAGAATGCAAAGTACGCTCTTCTAAATCACTGTATTTTTTTCTTAACGTGGAAAAGGCTGTTTTACAACCATCAAATATACACATCAAGGAAAAACAGCTGCTTCCATTATAACCAAAGTATAGCTGGTAAGGAGAGGCTACTGCAGAAGCAGACACAAAATCCTGTCCCTTTTTCATGCATATTCTTCTCAAGCCTTGTAGCTGGCTGATTCCCATGAGTATTCCCAGAGAACTCATAGAACCACACTGACTCCTTGTGGTCATGAGTACTGCCCAAATCAGAACAGCAAATGGAAAACCAAACCTTAAAAGCACATGAGGTTAAGATACCTGATAACTGACAAAATTTAGTTACAATTTCCTTCTCATGTTCATCGAAGAGCATCCTATCCTCTTCGTTCTCAAATACAGCTTTCAGCACCACCAGGAAACTCCGAAGGTAGTAAGGATGACTGGGTGGTACTGTAATCGTTTTATCAGGAACATCACATCTTGACCCCTGCTCCGAAGGAATTATGCAAGTGATTTCATTCTTTAAGTCACTGTCACCTTCTGGAAGGCCCTGGATGTTACAACCTTTAGAGTCATCCTGTGTAGAACTGTGAGATTCTGCCTCCCAATCTGACAACTGTGTTTTAGGTTCTGAAGCAACAGTCATTTTTACTTCTTCACAACTACCTGCCTCACATTTTTCAACATCTTTTCCGTCTATTCCTGTGACAGTCTCCCACTCAAGACTGTCCTCTGAAGTAGACCCCAATGGATTCCCAAGAGTTAAATCTGGTGAAAACAACACAGAAGCGTTATCTGAGAAGGCAGGGGTTAGGGATGATCTCCCACATTCCTGGGTAGCCTTTTGGCTTTCAGCTTCCAGTGTTTTAGTGCCTTCTACAGTATGTTCCTGAGTTCTCTGTTCATTAAGAGAGTCACAGGTAAACACGTTTTCCTTTTGAGAACTGTTCTCCAAAATTTCATCCTTGTCCTCTGTCTCTGAACAGTTATAAACCGGGCTCCTAACCACTGTGGATGGGGGACTCTGTGGACTCTTACTGGCAAATTCCTCATTCTTCTTACATATTGATCTTTTAGCTTCTGTGTATCTTCTGGACAGTTTAGATGACAGGCTTCCCAGAGTAATGACTTTCACATTATGATGTCTCAGCTGATCTTGAGTTTTGCACACCAAGTCATTATTATTTTTAAAGTAGGGGCTGGTCTGCTGTTTCATGACCGTTTTTGCTGAACCACTTTGGTCAGGGGTTAAACTTGTCTTTGATGGTGACAACTTTTCTAGCGTTACATCTTCTAAGACAGTATGGGTTGAATTTACGGAGGACGCATTTGAATTCGTTAAGCCAACCTGCCTCAGATCAACTGGAATGATGTCACCACTGTTAGCACAATTTTCATCGAGATGCCGGTTTAAGTCGAATCTCGGCACCATTTTACTACAAATGGGGCAGGCAAGTTTAGCAGGTGGGACATTGTTAAAAAATGAAATAATAGAGTTACACGCATTTTTTTTAGTTTTACTGACTGATAAACTTCTACGAGCTCTTTTCTTTGCAGGAGATTTCCCTTCTGACATAATGAGTATTAGAAAAACGGGGTGTTTCCGGTAATAAAACCCAGGATTTCACTGCAGAGTGCCAGCACCTGTATACTTTTACTTCCCTGACTTGAAAAAATAACAAGTGGGATTCTAATCCTATTTGACTTCATGTTTTTCATTTAGTCAATTTCTTCTTCCTACAAAATAAAACACACGTGGATTAAAAACACTTACGAATTCAACAGAGTGGGCAAAATAAAACGTGCAATGGCAGTATCCCTTGAGATAAGAAAAATCCTGGACTTGGAACAGAAGACCAGGGCTCTAATCCCGGGTCTACATGCAATATCGGTGTGACCCTTATGACCCTTATGACCAACGCTGCGCTCCGCAGGGATAACTTCTGAGACTTCTTACGCTCTAAAATTACCCATTTTTTTTTTTTTTTTAAGGGGGAAATCTGACTATTACAGATCCCTTTTCAAAACCATTTCGTCAGTAACCTTTTCCGGGAGAGAAAATGCCTATCTGCACGATCCCCGGAGTCACTTCGGTCTCACAGGCCCGTACAGAGGAACCCTCCAAGTCGCGGGCATCCCGTCAACACGCGTGGGGCCTCCAGTGCAGCTTCAGCCATCGAACTTCTGAGGCTCTGGGGAGCACGGCCGGCCCTTCCCCCCGGGACCGCGTGCGCGCACCTGGGACCCGCACCTGGGACTCGCACCTGGGCTCCGCCACCACGCCCGCCAGCCCTTCCTCCCTCCTCCGCCCTCCCCGCCCCGCCGCCTCCAGCAGCCCGCGCGAATCCCTCGGGCCCACAGCGCCCACCAGAAAGCCAGCCCGCGACCCCGGCGGGTCGCCCCGCGCTTCCCACGGAGCTCCGCGCGCTCAGGCATTCCCAGCCGATCCCCGCGTCTCGACTCGCCACAGGCTCGGCAAGTAGAGGCCCGAGTGATCGATCCTCCTCTCTTCCACATTAATGGCTTTCCCCCCATCCAGAGTAGCCGATGCTGGCAGAACCGTCCGGGGCGACCCTGCGCACCTCCTCCAGCACACCTGGAGACCCCTCCCTGCGCGTGCACTCGGAGGGAACCCCTGTCCCGAGCCTGTGGGAAAGTGGCCTAGGGGGACGGGTGGGGAGCGCGCTCAGTGTCAGGGCGAAGCGGCCTCCTGTGAGCAGATGCACGCGGGGGCTCCACTGACCCCGCGCCCGCAAGTCCACGTGGAAGGCTCAGCGGTGCGCTCGACTTTCCCTAAGATGTGCTGCTCGCCGCCTTGCTACAGTAGATGTGAATAACCTCAAGAGCAAAGGAACAATAAAATGCAGCTAAGTAGTTAGGGAGTAGGGAGTGTAGGGTATTGATTATTTGTTTTTCATATGGTTTAATTGTGAAGTTATATAGTTTAGTGTATAATAATGGCTGCTTAATAACGGACATTTTTAACTGAAACAGAAAGTGTATCACTCAGCTCTTAAGCACTGATACCATCTGGTTCCAGCATCCCCATGAATGATTCTGAATGTTAGCTTCCTGAGATCAGGGGCTACGTATTGCCCTTTGCCAGTGCTTACAACAGTGGCCGGCACAGTACGATCAGGATGCCAGCGTGGCCAGTTGCTTCTTCTGGGTCCCAGGCTTCTGGTTGTATCCTCACATGATGGGAGGGGCTAAGGTCTGCTTTCTAAGAGCACAATCGCATTCACAAAGGCCCCTCTCATGATCTAATCACCTGCTAAAGGCCCCACCTCCTAGTACCATTACATTGAAGGTTAGCATTTCAACATGAATTTGGGCAGGAGGGGTGGGGCATATGCAAACGTTCAAACCATGGCAACATGTAAGTTTGAAATGCCAATCAGACATTGTTGTGGATGAAGACACTTGAATTTATTAATTAAATCAGGTCAGGAAATAAAAATTCGGGAATCATCAGGCTTTATATGGTATCAATATATGACACCACAGAGTGAATACCAATAGAGAATTAAAAGGTCAGGAAGACTGAATGGCACAATAAAAAGAAGGAAGATGAGAGTGAGCCAGTAGAGGAGTCTGAGAAGTTACCAGTGAGGAAGAAGGCGAACAGCTGGCATCCAGAAAACCAGGTGAATGATGTGTGGTAAGGATGGGGCGGGGGTGGTTTTCAGATGCAACTCAAACAGAAGATGAGTATTGAGGACAAGCATTAGATCTAGCAATGTGGAGGGCATTTGGTAACTTTGACAAAAGCTATTATTGTGAAACAGTGGAATGATTGAATAGGATTCAAGAAAGATGGGGAGACAGGAATTGGAGACAATACAGGGACCAATTCAAAACCCAAGTTGGTATGAAGATTATTTTAAGCTGAAGGCATTTGGGATTCAACAGATACAGAAAGAAGCCTTCTTGGAGCTTCCCTTATCTGACTAAAATAAACTTCTAGGAAATAACACTGCCATAAGTTCCCTCTTTGGGGAGTGAGTGGGGACTGGGATTTTATTACCAGGAAGGAGACCTAGAGAATATCTACTATAAATTCTCTCTCCAGGGAAATCTTAAGGCCACAAAAATGTATGAACACCTGCATGAACAACCATTATCACAAACTTTCTTATCTCCCATTTGTTCTTCTAGAAACCAATGTGCTCTTCCCCAAAGACCTTTTCTACCCCTTTCCTTTCCTACTAACTTTAACCATCTATCAAGCTACTTTTTTTTTTTAAGATTTTATTTATTTATTTGACAGACAGAGATCACAAGCAGGCAGAGAGGCAGGCAGAGAGAGAGGAGGAAGCAGGCTCCTTGCTGAGCAGAGCCCGATGTGGGGCTTGATCCCAGGACCCTGAGATCATGACCTGAGCTGAAGGCAGCGGCTTAACCCACTGAGCCACCCAGGCGCCCCAACTACTTCTTTTGTAAGCTCCCATAAGTAAATGAATAATTTTTCCTGTTTTCCTGTTCATCTTCTTTTGTCAGTTTAATTCACAGGCCCCTAGGCACTAAATCTAAGAGGGTTGAGGAAAAGTTCTTCCTGACAACAGAAGTGTAGACTTAAACAGGTTTTGTAGTGAAGGAAAGCAGAGAGGTATAGCAGAGCTGAAAGAGGAGGTGGGTCTAAGAGTTTTGTTTATTTAAGATGGAAAAAATAACAATATGTTTATATATTGATAGAAACATTCAGATAGGTGAAATCTGAAGCAGGAGAGAGAAAGACTTGCTGGAGTAATATTAGGTAGGTGAGAGGAGGGATATAGTTCACAAGGGAAGGGGTTGCCCAAGTAATGAAATAAGCATAGCACAAGAAAACCCCAAACTATTTATGGGAATGCAATAAATCCAGTCCACAACATAGTAAATGTTGTAGGTTACTGAGGGAAATCTGACTATTGAATAAATGGCTCTTGAGAATAAGTTACCTATGTGGAAAAATGAAATTGGATCCCTACCTCACACCAAATAAATACAAAGATTAAGGATAACTAGATTAACAACTGTGAAAAACAAACTTCAAAACTTTTAGAATAATAGACATTCCTTGAGAGATAACGGGTTTGGTTCCAGACCACAATAAAGTGAGTATCACAATAAAGCAAATCAAATGAATTTTTGGTTTCTCAGTGCATATAAAAATTACGTTTATACTACACTGCAGTCCATTAAGTGTACAACAGCATTATGTCTAAAAAAAAAAAAAAACCCTATGTATATGACTTAATTTAAAAATACCTATAGGATGGTTGTGTTGTGGACATTGGGGAGGGTATGTGCTATGGTGAATGCTGTGAAATGTGTAAGCCTAATGATTCACAGATCTGTACCACTGGGGCAAATAATACATTATATGTTAATAAAAATAATTTTTAAAAAAGTATTTTAGTTACTGTTTTAAAAAAAATAAAAATACTTTGTTAAAAAATACTATCAACTGAGCTTTCAGCAAATCGCTGATCAAAGGTCACCATAAATACAATCATGAAATAATAATAAATACATCATGAAATAATAATAAATACAATCATGAAAAAGTTTGAAGTATTGCAAAAAATTACCTAATGTGATCCAGAGACAGCAAATGAGCAAATGCTATTGGAAAAATTGTGCCTGTAGACTTGCTCAACACAGGGTTGCCATAAATGCAGTATCTGTAAAAAAAACACAGTATCTGCAAAAAACACAGTATCTGCAAAACACAATAAAGTGAAGTACAATAACATGAGATATGCCTGCATAGCATTCTATTATCTTGAAGGTATTATAGGCTTCCTTTAAATAAGAGAATAAGTGCTACCATAAAATAAGAGATTGACAAACTCAACTAGAGTTAAATTAAAAACTTTCTAGAATGGCTTTGTAGCTTATATTTTATTGGGCTAAAAATCTTGCATATCACAAGCATAAACAATGTAAAAATTACAAACTATAAAAATTACAGAAACAAATGTTTCATTATAATTTTAAATTATAAACAATTATAAAGTGTAAGAAAAATAATCTATTTGAAAACATTGGAGAATGATCAAAAGTAGGCAGAAACTGGAGGTTCAGTAGCAAAAATAGTAACAATGCATCATTGGATTTTAGCATACCTAGATGAATTACAGATGACAACAATAGCAAAAAGGATGAGATGGTAAATGTAAATATATCGCTACAAAGGTCTAACATCTTATCTGAAGTGGTAAAATATTAACTCTAAGTAGACTGTTATAAGTTAAGGATGCATACTGTAATTCCTAAACAACTGAAAATCAATACAATGGAGAGCTAATACATGGAGAGATATTCCTTGATATTCCTAGAATATCAACACATTTGATTTTAAAAGCAAAAGAGGAAGAGAGAATAATTAGGAAACACAAAGAGAAAATAAATAGCAAAATGGTAAAACCAAGTACAACGAAACCAATAATTACATTAAATATGCATGAACTAAAATCTTCAATTGAAAGAACCAGGGGAACCTGGGTGTCGTTGGTTAAGCATCTGACTTCAGCTCAGGTAGTGATCCCAGGGTCCTGGAGTAGGCTTGCCTCAGGCTGCCTTCTCACCTGGGAATCTGCTTCTCCCTCTGTCCCTCCCGCTCCCCTGCTCATGCTGTCTCTCTCTCAAATAAATAAATAAAATCTTTAAAAAAAAAACAAATAAAAGACAGAACTTGTCAGATTAGACTTAAAAAGCAATTCCTAACTATGTGATATATCTAAGAATCACAGGCAACTAGAAAGTAAGAAAATGGAAAATAACATAATATTCAAACAAAAATCACAAGAGCTGTAGTATTATACTGAAAATAGACTCCAAGACAGGGAGTACTACCAGAGAAAAATAGGTCATTTAATAATCAAAAGGATCAATTTGTGAGAAAGACATGAAAATCATAAATGGGTATATACCTAATAGGTCTTCAAAATACATGAAGCAAAAACCGATACAATTACAAGAAGAGAAAAATCCACAATCATAATTAGAAAATTTATATACTTCTCTAATTAACAGACCTAAACAAACAAAAATCTGTAAGGATACATAATAACTGAATGAAAATACCAAAGCTTTGGACTAACTGAAATACAGAACACTATATTAAACAACCGATGGACACATATTTTTTCCTTTTCCTAGTGGTATAAGTTTACTAATTCTGAAAACTACTTGTATATTCTAGGCTTGAGTAAAGGAATAAATATACTAAAGATAATAGGAGCAACATTTCTCACTGTTGGAAAAGGCATTACAAATATGGAAAGAGTGAATACTAGAATTTAATCTGCAGGGGTATTGGGTTAGAATTGTAGGTTTTAGTATGCACTCATGTATGGAATATAACACACACACACACACACACACCACAACCACAGTTTTCTGGGTCTGGTGAGTGGGGCTAGTGGCAAC